CAAAGCATAACATGGGCTTAGTACCGTATTGCAATGCTTTTATTATTTTGCTTCCATTTAAGTATTCCCATGCATCTGCGTCTAGTTTAACAGGAAAACATACAAGCAGAGTAAGTGTCTGATAAACTAAAAGTCCCAGTTGTCAAAAATATTCTTAACATTTGTCCACAGCCAGCTGCATTTAATTGAGACACAGAACACTCATCTTCTAAGACTGTATACTGCTGTTTTGCGGGCAACTAAAAGCTCAGACACTTAACTATCTTGCTACCGATGTTATTGCTGGGAAATTGTTTAATGACAGTGATCATGAAATATGGTCAGTGATAGATGTACAGTTCAGAAATAAACACCAAACATACTTATCGCTATCTTATAATGTATGACAGCAACAGCATCAAAGGCACGTTTTTTCCTATTTTTAATCAGACTGATCTGAATCCGTATACACATTAGAAACAGGCAACTCTACTTACTAAACTGATCTGTTTCGTTACAGGCTTCAAGCACTATACTTAAGTATATCATAATTCTTTCAACTAAACTGAATTATACGACAACCAAGAACACTAAACTAAGCAAGTGTCATAGTTATTGTTTCATTTGCACAGACATGTTGCTCAAAGTAGTTAAATGGACATAATTAAGCCGATAAAACCAAAACACGAAATATAGGCCAGTTGAACTTACCTGAGAAAAAAAAAGGATACATATATTCTGCTTTCATACTGAAGACAACAGGCAGTTGTTCATAGAAACATAGTTTACAGTACAACAAACCTTTCTTCAGTAAAATCATGAACTGACAGTCTATCTGGAAACAATCAACTATGTGAATAAACTCACTATGACTTGAGATATCACCCCAGCGTGCAATGGACGTACAGTGTAACTCAGCCGGACGTAGCGAATAAAAATGAAAAACAGAGAAAAAGTAGCTACATAATCTAATTATTTAATTAAAAAAACATTATGAAATGACAAATACTGTGGTTACTTGAACGCTTAAATGACAGTGTGCGATACATTAAGTTTACATGGTTGCGTTGCGGATAAGATCACCCTGTTCATGAGTCCTAAACTTGAGTACTGCATACAAGCGACTAGCCTCTGCTTAAAAAAGTCAGTGAACTTTTGGAAGAGGTTCGTAGAACAGCAACTAAGCTTATTCTCGAAATAGTGAGGCTCTCGCATGATGCTCGACTAGCCAAGCTAAACCTATTCCGTTGTCATATCAAAGAACTAGAGGTGACTTGATTACAGTTACCAAATTACTTAGCGATAAATTTGCATCCCCTTATTTTTTGTATTCCAAAGCAGAATTCACGAGGAAACTCCAAAAAAAGTTTACAACCCCAGAACAAGTAGCTTGTAAGCTGACAACAGACTTTCCCATCTAATCATCAACGAGTGGAAATAATTATCACAGTACGTGGTTGAGGCTCTACTCGTCGACTCTTTCAAACAAAAGTTGGGTTAACTGAGAGACCACCATTGCCAGGACTAACATAGACCATCAAGCTTCCTGTTCTTTCAGAACTGAAACTGGAAAGATTAAAGATCCAATTCCACGCAAGATCGGTGGAGCGTGGTTTGGAATTATGGTATGTGTGACTTTTCAAATCTTAGTCTTCGTGGTTGTTTTTGGGGTTATTTGGTTATCTCTAGTTCACACTTCCGTTTTGTTATATGCTTTCGATTAACCTCAGTGATGAATTAAATTTATTATTTTTGATTAGGTCTCATATTCTGGATGTGACTTAATACGTTCTAAGTATAAAGTGTGTTTTTACCAAAGCTATGCAGATCCAGCAAATCTGGTTGCGTAGTATGATAATTTCCAAAGTGATGAATTACAGTGGTATTTAGGTCCTGGTAAGTGACGAATCTAACTATTTAGGAAAAGGTGGTAGTGTTGGGGTCGCAATTGATTGGTTGATTAACCAACCAATAAGGGGGAAATAAAGGCCAAAATGCGTTGAAAAATAAAAGGGAAACGCGCCAAAATATCTGCTTTTTCTTCTGTCCGGGGGGATAATGCGGATTCTCCCCTTGTCGCTCTGTGTTTTAAATGTCGCCGAGTTGTCTACCTTTCGCCTAAAAATTCGTCGAATTGTCTATTTTTCGCATGTGCGCGTCCGAAGTACTGGCAGTGGTTTCGTACTTGTTGTGAATTAACTTTCCTTTGTGTATGAATTCTTCACTGTAATGGGAAGAGTGTTTGCAGTGTAATGAGTGTGACAACTGGCTCCATAAGGTGTGTTCCTGTTGGACCGACCGCATATAAAAGATGCTCGGAAACCAATTCCCATTGGTTTTACGTGTTTGTCTGTTCGAGTGAGATGATAATGATCCAGGAGGCGATGATCTTTCTGCCGTCGATCACTAGGAAAGTTTATAGTGGCTGCGCTGGTAAAATAGGTACTGACAGCAGAGAATGTGTCAGTGTAGTACGTACTGTTACGAAACGAGTCAAACCCATGTGCGGAACATGGAAAAAGAACATCTTTGGAACAAACAAGGATTAAAATACTACTAGATGTTGGTGGTCACGATTCCAAAGTCGTACCAGAATACCCGGATAAGCCCATCACCGTTCCGAGTAGTCCTTATGTGCCTGCTTCGAGTGATGGAAATGGACGGCAGTGCGGAAACAAAGAATAGAAAGGAAAACCCTTTTTCGACAAACAGCACGTTTGTTATTTAGGTCTTTGGTAGGCTCCTATTCTGAGTTGCAGGATAAATCGCCTATATTTCGAAGTTAGACTACTTGAAACCTAACATGGAAAAAGCTTGATGTAGTCGAATGTTATTGCGGGTAATTTACTAGAATCAAGTGACCCCAATCCAATAAATGGACATCTACATAACTTGGTAAGGGTCGAAAAATTTATTTGTAGCATCTTATCTGATAACTATCAGATCGAATAAGAAAATTGACAAGAATAGGTAAGAGGATCGACGAAAATGTTTGATCCTGCCCATACGGACTCCTTAAGGTTATCTTAGGGTCAGAAGAACAACGGAATCTTTTGTTAACATGTGCTCGAAGTCACGACAATACTGAGATCCGAGTGAAATCTGACACGTTTAGAAGATATAATAAAAGGGAGGCGGCAGTAACTGAACTATGAACTCGTCGACAAAGTGTAGAGGGAAATCTCTTCTTGGGTTTTTGAGTAGTCAGGTCTTGGAAACGAATTCTGTCAAGGCCTGTATGAATAGGTCGTTCTTTGTAGGAGTCTTATGTACAAATACCCATAGTTTAGGAAATAGATTATCGGGATAGGAATAGATGTAAGAATGAAGGTGGAGTCCTTTTATAAGTAGATAACAGTATAAACATCCGTCCCTTTGTAAATACCATGGTAGTGAAACCTGTGAAGTTGCTAGGTGTGGACTCGCTTTTGAAGGTTGGACATATATTCTCGGTGTCATTTATCGTTGCCTGATCTGCTTGGCTGGTGACTTTATTTTAGAGCCCATTGAGCCATAAAGTGAGAATAACATGCCTGATATTAGATTAATACATTTGATATTAGTTGAACAAAGATAGCCGCTGTAGGATCTGTAAACTTTCGATCTGAGGCTCCTGATGACGGTAATATAGCGTGCTTAAGTACAGCATGTATTCAAACCCACACGTTTTGGTCCAAACCAAAGATCTTTGTTAGGCTTAGTCATCACTTATGCGACCGAGGTTATTGTCTGTCTGAATGTCCTTCCACTTTTAGCTAATAGCGATCATACTGTCCTGTCATTCGCGTCTAGAGCTCGCGACGTAATATACGATCAGGTTGAACCTCGACTAAGTATGTGGGGAGCAAAATGTCATCCAGGAGTGCTCTGGTCAGTAAACACCAGCTAATCAATGGAAGAAGCATGGCCTGCATTCAATAATAAGCTTAGTTTAGTTGCGTCCCAGTTCATATCGCGTTTAATACCACGTAGACCAAATAACTGCCTACCATGGATAAAAAGCAGGTCAAGAAACTTCTTAGACGTAGGAAAAAGCAATGGAATATGTTTATCTTTACAGGCTCCGAACATCATAAATCCATGTATTGTAAGAACAGGGACGCTTGCAAAGCGTTGATAAGCAAGGCTAAATACCCATATGAAAAACGATTGCTTAAGGATTGTGAAAGTAGTGCCGAAAGGTTCGTAGTTCATTTCATTACTTGGACGAAGAGATGTTTATGGTATTATACCCAACCTGTATGTGGCAGCACTTTGAATATGGGTTTCTAGCAGCGAGTGCTTGTTTCGAGTATGAAGCGGATATGCTGGAACAACGGCGAGAAACCAAAATGATGAAAGCTCTCACTGACCTATCTTGTAGAAACAGACTGGGACGCCTTAACCAATTTCCGTGATATCACCGGTTACGGGTGGTCTAATACCGGCTTATTATATACTTAGCGATAATGTTGGTGTTGATATCTTTTATTAACATCTAAGACATCATTTGAGAAGACATTCTAATGAAGTTCAAGGACGGAGATTAAATCGCTTGCGTCTGGAGTTTATTATATTGATAAATTTTGTGTTAGTATTTTCGTTCCTAGTTGTGGCCAGTTTTCTCCCACAATGTTTGTCATTCATATGGAACGGATTTTAAAACAGTATTTCTTAGTTACTAGGTCGTTTCTTTCTTGTTTACGTAGAAGATATAAATGATCTTGTTCAGCACCTCGACAGTTATGCTATCAAACTTAGTTCATTGGTTTCAATGATCAAATTGTCTTAAACATATTCCTTGGTTTATGACTGTTCGCTCCCACCTTGGAATGCTTTTCTTACTATTTATCTTTCAGGTTTCAATTCTGGCTAAATGAACTTCCGCCTCCAAGCTTATGAACATCTTTGACGCTTACCTAACATAATCATAACAGTATATTGTAAGCCCGACATAAATTTATTAACGAATAGGAGTCATATTTCCTCTGGGCAAAGTCTGTGTTAACGACGTTGACATCGAATCCAAACAACCTCTTAGAATGAGTCATGAAAGACAGTCTAACTCAGCGATCTCCAATCCCAGCCTATCTGGTTTGGCGCTAAATCTATCTCAGGCATCAATACCAACTGGACCAATTCTTCTTCCAGCGTTTATTTCTCATGGAGCTGACGAATTATCGTCTTTTATTGGAGAAAATCCAGTAAACACAAAGACATCTATACCAGAAAGTGAAGAGAAATCTCTCGACTCTGGATCAAGTCTTGCAAAAAACGCTCTTATCTTGGAAGTATCACCGTCTTCAGCTTGCTCCGTAGGTTTACTTTGGTAACTAATTCATGTATATTACAGTGTTTCAATATTCAAAGGAACTAAAACTACTACATAAGTCAATACGTCCTGATGTTCACGTAGATTTTTATCCTTCGTTTATCAGAAATCTCGGCAGCCAAAGTATACGACGATTAGTTTTCTTAAACCTATTGGCCATAAAGATCTCAAAATATCCTACTGGCAACTTGTAATATTCTAGATCCACTGGTTTTCTGTACTTGTTCAGTGCCATATCGTTTTCCTCCTAATAGAAGGTTCACACTAGCATCATTCATAGTCAGTCAGCTACAAACGTAGGACCAGGCACATATATGCATCGGTCCAAGTTGCCACACCTCATTAGCACAACAAGATGATCACCAAATTCATAGAAGTAGTTACATCACTATGAAAGAGAGATTGTATATAAGGATATGGCACAGGAAGAAAGAATTAGTTGATGGAAAGAAAGATATAAAGCAATTTTAATCTCACGGTTTAAGGGAAGACAAAGAGTTTATGCACCTTACTCTGTTGATCGTAAGGTTCTATGGCAGTGTTTGTCATTGAAAGGAGTACCACAGAAGTACATTAACCTTATAGTGGCTTTCTACTCGAACACAACTGGTAGAGTGAGAGCTTATGGCGAACTGTCGTCAGAATTGATTACCTCAAGTGGTGTTTGTCAGGGCTACTCACTCTCTCCATTCTTGTTTAACTTTATCGTAGACATGCTTTGAGAGGTGAAAACTTTCCTCATCTGAATTTTCAGGGGTTGAACTTCTACCGGGAGATTCACTTTCTGACCAAGAATATGCCTATTACATAGTTCTATTTGGTGAAGACGCTGACAAAATGCAGAGTCTCCAACACTAGTCAGCATTGTGCATCGTGGTAATCGATGTTCAGGCATACATAACACGTCGCCCAACCATTTCAGTCGATAAAAATTTACAACCTCATCAACTGATTTATCATCATCATAATTCCCTAATACCGTGCGTCTAACCTGACTATTGCTTACCCGGTGATCCCAGCAGATACGAGCAATATTTCTAAGACATCTGTGGTCAAATACTAGTAACTTACGAGTATCCTCTCTTAATGGTCAAGTTTCGTGGCCGTAAAATAAAAGTGAACAAACTGCCGTGCAGTGTATTCGTCCTTTAATTAACAGCTATAACTTTTTGGACTCCAACTCGAGTTTGGGGACTTACTTCAATATTCCATTCAGGTTGTTTGGAAATGGTGTCTAGCTGTAGAGTAGCTAAATGCCAGCTGAACTGCTCTTTAAAGTGTTCCGCCCATCATTCTAAACGTCTGGACTGCGAGCAGATAAGTGTCGTCTTTCTCAGCGACTGTTTCACTTACACTTGACCTCTAAATCCCGGTCTATTTTATTAGTCGGAATATCTATCTGGTGTTACTGCAGCCATCTCTTTTGCTTTAGTTGCCCGCCACTGCTCACGGTCGTTCCCTAGACTTTTGGTTAACCTAGGTTTGGTTTGTTTCCGCTCATTGTGTTTAGAGCCTGATGGGATAAGTTTATAAGAGTCAATCAGTGCATTAGATGTAGCAGAAATCCACTGATTTTTCGTGACTAATAGATGTCACTGCTGTTTCCACAGCTGTTAGTGTATCTTTCTAAGCAACATCAACCTCATTTTCAGAACTACCAATGTGTGGGCTCATTAGTTCCTGAAATCTACTTTCGACTTTGTCGTCACTTAGTTCAATTCTAATGGGTTCTCTTAGTGTGGTTTTTATGCGTCCAGTGAGGCGCAAGCAAATGCGTGCCTGTATTAGAGCATGATCGTCGTCTAAACATGTATTCCAGAACGAGCGACAGTCTTCTATCGAGCCTCTCCAACAATGACTGATGGCAATATGGTCTATTTGAGTCCATCGTTGGTTTAGTGTAGGGGGTCACCATGTTAGACGATGTCTTTCCTTATGCTTAAAATTTGTGTTTGCTAAAAATAAACGATTGTCTGAGCATAGTTGCAACAGACGATCACCATTATCTGTTCGTTGTGCCGGTATACTAAAATACCCACCTAAATGTCTTTCTGTTTGGTTTAAACTACCTATCTGAGCATTAAAGTCACTTGTTACGAGTACTATGTCTGAACGTTTAGCTTTCTGAAGAATTTCAGATAGCTTTCTGTAAAAGTCATCTTTCATTTTATCCGGGCTACAGTCAGTGGGAGCGTAGGCAGGAACGACGAAAAGGCAACGACGTGTATCCCTATCCTTCCGAGTTCTTACGGAGCCGTCTAACCACACAAATCTGCCACTAAGCTTTTTTACTAGGATAAAGGTGTTATTTTCACCGTTTGGTATACTGTAGTTTAGGAAATTGCTAATCATTCAATCTTATTGCTTGAGTTGTCCTTCTGTTGTAAGTTATTTATTGGCCTCCACTAACTGCGCATTTTTATTAGAATTTCAAACCCGTCATTAATAAATACTACAATTAAATTTAAATTTCTCAGTTTAAGAAGTTGTGACTAGTTACCAAAATGTTTACATGTTAACGTGGCTTTAAAGTAAAAGTCCATTCTGAATCTTGAACGGAAGCATTCATCGAATAAAGATGAAAGCATCTATTTACATGCTGCCGTAATTTTATAAATGCCTTTCTTCGGAAACAACCTATTGTCTAAACGATGATTTTCAAGTATTTGAAAATTTCACCGTAATCCAATTGTACATTGTTGTTCTCATGTGTATGCCTAGAGGAATAGGTTTCCTAGTGCTTGTTTATGAATCTGTTACTTATCCCCCATCCTATAAATGGGCTTTATTGTTAGCACAAGGAATATCGACTGGAATTCCGTTCGTTTAGTCTCCTGATTTTTGTTTGAATTTTGATTTGGAGTATAAAAGTGTTTACTTTGTAGCTCGGCTCAGAGCTTGATTTGTCTAAATATCACTTCATCTTAGTTATTTTTAAACAGTTAACTGACTTGTAACAATTCTAAGTAAAATCACTTTTAAACATTTTCATATTTTATCTCAAGTTCAAACCGATCGCTTCCACAACAGTCAAGTTAAATCAGCGACCTCGTTATGTTTTACCCCCGGATATAAACACTTTTTCGTCTAGCACTCCAACCAGCATTACCAACATACCTCTCAATTCTCCAATCAAGCCATCTTCAACTTTTAGACCAAACCAATTACTTCCTCCATTTCCCTCAAGTAATCCACAGAATAATATACAAAATGCACAACTTCCCGTACTCATGGAAACAACAGATCAACAAACACAGTGTCCCAATCAGAATATTGATCCAACCTCATCAATATCATCTTCCGTATTGATGAGTGAGTTTATTTGTACTTTCGTAAGGTTAAACTGTAACTTAATTGATTTACTTACTACAGTTTTGTGTACTAAACTTTAAAACACAGTATGAGGGCTAGTGATATTGTTGCTCAAAACCAGTACTTACTAGTTAGAATATTTTGAAAATAGTTATGTCGGACTCTCATAAATACTATCCGAACATTGGTAATTCATACATGTGTTCATATTTGTCTTAATTTGGTGTGTCCAGAAGCATGCTATTTTGTGCGTGCTTAATTACTCTAAGATGTAAGAAAAATTTAAAGTGTTTTATACCCTCATTTGAGCATTTATATAATTTGTTTTCTGTATGGTAATTTTAATGGCAACAAACTTAGTGAACGTCTTGAATAGGAAATTTCCTCAGTTACTCTAGGCCAACAATAGATTTTCGGGTTAAACAGATATGGATCATTAACACAGAACATAATACAGATGTACGTTGACCCAATTTGCCATGCCACATTAGTACAGCAGGTTGAAGCGATAAAATGGCTAGCAAAAGGGAACGAAATTCAATATCAATTTAATAATCAATTCATCTAGGCGCACCGGAAACCTGACGAGGTTTAACTACAATTTTTTGTACTAATATAATAACAATCAATATTGTAACCTGTCACATGTTCTTTATTCGAATTACTTTGTCGTGATCGATTAATTAATCACACCTTTCTTTGTAATTGTTATCACATTAATGAGTTACTTAAGCAGATTTATCCCTCATGAGACTTATAGGCTGCAGACCAAGGGTCTTCAAGCAACCCTGTTCTGGGCTATGCTTTCTATTTGCTGTCATGTTTTATTCATGATATCGATGTCTGCTTCCAACTCCTGGCCCCATGTATTCTTTGATCTGCCACCTTTCCTTTTGCCCTAAAGATTCTAAGTTAGGGCCTGTATTGTGGTAATCCGATGGTTCCCTCCAAGTATGTCCCATTCACCTCCATATTTTTCTAATTTCCTCTGTTGACAGCTGGTTTTTTCTGTAAAAGTGGTTTTTTTATCGATATTGATCGATCAATGGATTTGGAGTATCGAAGATAGACAGCTATTTATGAATGCTTTTACGCTTTCGGTAATGGTTGTGGTAGTTCTGAAAGTTTCAGCTCCATACAAAAGAACAGTCCTAATGTTAGTGTTAAAAATTCTGACAGTTGTTGTGGCGGGTGTTTTGAGTTCGAGATATTCTCCGATTGCAGGGATGCTGCTCTTGCCTTTCCGATTTGTGCCTTAAGATCTTCACGGGGTGTTCGTCGTTCATCTATAATGCTTCTGAGGTTCGTAATGGCTTCCACCTCTTCTAGAGCTCTGCCATCAAATATGATTTAGCTAATGCTTGTGTGATGTGTGCTACTTATATCGACATAATTAGTAAATGACGTTAGTCGGGAACAGAATGTCTGGCAGCAGAGAGACAAGAGAATCGAACAGTAAAGAATGGAAACAGAATGTAATTTGTATCAAAATGTAAGAACAATGAAGTCTAAGTCATTTTGAGACAATTGATAGTCATTTTGCAAATTAAGCATTTACTTTATGATTGCTAGATTTTATTAACAAGTCCTGTAATTTGCGTGTCAAATACGTCTGGTTGCATCCCACCGGTGTTCTGTTCACTGCACTTATCGTACTGCACTTCAAGATTTTGTTTATTCCCTTGTGGATGTTAAGGCCCACTAGTAATGAGGCAGTTGTTGCACTTATTATTATTATTATTATTATTATTATTATTATTATTATTATTATTATTATTATTATTATTAATTATTTGAACACAAATATTGGTACAAGGGGGCACCAAATACATATGCGCCGTACAATAACAATGGGGTTGTGAAGAGATAGAGAATGTAAAATGCATATAATAAAAGAACAACAACAACCGACAGAAATTAGTTTATGAGAGCGAAATAATGATATTAATAATAATAGTAAAAATGGGAGAAACAGTTCAGTTAGCAAAAATATAACCAGTAAAAGTTTCTTCAATCAAAGAAGTTACGCAGCTACCCAGATACACGAACTTCTCGACTACTTCTATCCGCTCACTACCCAAGGTGTGCAGGATCAGGGTCCTACCACTCTTGCAAAAGTACTTTGCACTTAGAAGGTGCAAAGCACATGTCATACCTACGGACACTTCCAACTGATTAAGTGCGGATTACATGGCTCGGGTATCGTCACACAGTACGACAATATCATCCTCATACTCAAGGTCAAAAAGTCTTTCTCCAGACAACAGACTGATTAATGTGCATTAACTACTTGATCACACAACAACACGTATAAGAAATTACCAAGTGCACATGACTAACCCATAAGTGACACAAAATCGGAGCTAATAAACAAATGATTAATCAATGATAAACCCGTAACAGGGAAACATACGACACCCGTTCATCAATTTTGCCGAAAGCTTACAAGTATAAAAATGCAGTGACCCAAGCATGTAACAATTATACAATAAAAGTATAAACAATAATTACATCTAGGATAGTTGTGAAATTTCAGTCTTTCTCAAGTCCACTTCAGTTTAATAAAAAGTATGATTTCACTAAGCTCGAATTGTATCTTATTGTTTGTAAAGCGTATAATTAAAAATTATGGTAAGTTTCCCATTGAATTCTATTCTAGCCCGTGTCTGATAACATCTCAATCAACAGGGGGACTCAGATGGGAAGTTATGACGAACCAACGAATGTTAATCCATCGCAAGTATTCTTTATTCCATGGCACCATGATACAAACTAATCTACACCAATTAATTGTGTAATAAATAACTAGGTAATTTAACAGAAGCAACATGTAATTCAATACAGTAATACTTCAGTCATAGTAAAATAGTGGCATCGCTTAATTATTCAGTTTTCATCCAATCAGCTGGAGGTTCGTACTACGTTACGCCTACTTTGGTTTAGACAACTCGGTAGGGCCATTACTCCGTACAAACTATTTTGCCTGAATAAAAATTTAAGAAATATGTTAACCACGTAATTAAAATGAAATGTGAACGCGTCGATGACACTAATGTAAGTATTACCAGTTTCTTTGCTTCACTATTTTAGATCTATGCTGCGAACACCCGACAGATCATTGAACGTTTTATCCATGATAGTAACCTTCATCAGTCACTTCTCACAGTCTTGCATTGTATCAAAGTGTACTGCTGTGTACAACCAAAACCTTAAGAATGATGTGATGCCACAAGTGACGTGATTTCGAATTAATCATAACTGATTCAAAACTCTCGATGTTACATTCACCTAGAGCCAATTATAAACTTCTTAACTAAGTCGAACAGACAATGTGTCATGATACATATGGTTGAAGACAAGTCATATATCATTAGTTGATATTTTGTAGAGATAAAATCTAAACTAGAATGTATATCTACTATGTATAACTGACCTATAAAGATCTTAACATACCTTAAATTCATCTGATTTCTTCATAACAATCCATATCACTTGATCTTTATTCATTCTAATAGTTTGTTGTATGAACACTTTATTCACTAAACTGTCAATCAATAAATGAGTCGAAGGTTCGAGGAGTTGTATTGGTACCACGAACCCTCACATTAAAGATTTCATTCATCGTTGAATGCGCAAACTTGTATTTGATTATTGGGGGTATAGTACGGCAAGCGAAGTTTTTGATGCAGCAAAATATTGATCTACAAGCAGATTTGAATATTAACTTAACATAATAGTTCACTAGTTGTATGTTGAGCACAAATTGTCTTTCCTCTGGGCAGATTGAAGGTTTTATGAAAACCTGAAAATATTACATATTGAGTCCAAGTTAGCTTACCTTCAGTTCTCTCACGTTTAGTATGTGGTAATAAACAAGTTTTTATCATAATAGTCTCAAAGACACGGAGTGACTGAACATAAAAGTGAAGATCAACGATCTTTGTCGAACTCAAGCCTCACATTTCTTATGTATATCGTATTTTCTATATGCTTATACACAGTTTATTCATTATTGTTTATTATACTACATTAAACTAGCCTTTAGACTTTTTTTACATGGCATTTATTGTTCACACAAAGTGTGAAAATAACCCTTAAGGCATGTCTCTTCCCTAGTTTTTAACTTTCGACGAGAAAAAAACGGCAGAACTATGAACCAGTAGCGCTTCTTCATTTCATTGTTTACCAAGTAATGACATAATCCAGAAAACAATTAAGTAGTTAGTAATAGTATTTTAAGTAATGATTAGGGTCAAAAAACCATTACTTGTGTAACCAACTATGTTGAATGTGAATTATTTGCTCACCAAAACATTAGATAATGGTACTACAATTTTACTAATCAATTGTAGTTAAGTGTAAACTACTGGGTCCCGACTCAGTAGTATCGTAATTATCGTGAGACTGAAATGTTTTGAGATGGGTTCTGTGTTGATTTATGGGCGCATATTGTTTTAGAGTGACAGACTAGGGCAAAACAACTGTCCAGTACTCAGTTATCGTTAGAACCTTGTGTAATGTCGATTGATGACGAAAACCATGTTTAACTTAGAATGATCTACATCAGGAGATTTTAGCAACTAGTGTTCCTGTATAAATATCTCCGATTTTTATTATCTTACCAATACCTTCTTTTCAGGAACCACTTATCATCCAATTGGAGCCCATTGGTTCTATTCTACAACTTTCGAAAATATATCCGTTTGGTGGCCATTTTCACGTCATGATTCATACCAAATTGAAACTGAGTTTTTCCGATCATGTTATTCACAGTTTACATCAGAAAATTCACTAGCTTCTCTCATTACCAATACTACATCGGATATGAAAGCAACAATTGGAACTCGTGAAGTTGTTGTTCAAGTTGATGGAGGTCGTTACGATGTTCATTTAACAAAAAGAGAACGTCGTTCAGTCTACTGGGACGAATCACCAGGTCAAGTTAGACGGGCCACGTGGTTTTATAAGTAAGCGATATATGTCATAATAATATGAAATACCATCCTTTGAAATTAACTATTGTACGACAGTCCTGTTTATTATTTATGTATAGTTTTTGGCCTACACTAATCAGGGCGCATATTAATAAAGTTGAGCACTGAAAGGGAAAATAATATTCTTAATGATATGAAATATATTTGATTTACCCGCTGTTGCGGAAGACCTTAAAACGGACAATTTGGTGGTGGGGGGTCAACTTATTGATGCTGCTCATCCAAGTATACGGGAATTTATTGATGCTCTGAAAAAGACTAAATGGATTGAAAATTGAATAGTCTGTTGTGGATATCCAGCAACAGAACTTAAAAAGAAAATATAAGGAGGTAACAGTATGTATCGAACTGGTCGTAGATTATGAAAACAGATCGATGCCAAATTATTCACATAAATATATACACATCTAAACATGTTAAACTGTATTACAAAATCTTTACAATATATGTTACATTTACATCTATACTAAATTGATGTTACTTCCTTTTAATGATCTATTTTGATTGATCATATTCATTCATTTAATATATTGCTCGGATTATTTTATTGTATCAAGAAATCGCACTTTTAGGCCTAGTAACCAAGGTTCCGAGTAGTCGGAGTCCGAATTTCGAGATGCACTTTTTCCTCTCAAACAGAGAATATTACTTTAAAACTGTTGTTGGTTTCGTCAACGCTTGTATATTGGTAGCTGATAAAATATCTGAATGGATAAAAAAACGGAGCATTATTATTCGGTGAGAATTAGTTCATGGGGCTGTAAAACTTTATTAAAGTTGGTTGGGATATATGTTTTGTATTGTCATCCACTGCCTACCCTGATGTGTTTTGCTAGTGAATAAACTAAAACATGATATCGATCCATAAACTCACTACCCCTAGGGTGAATTCTTCAAAGCAGTACGGACTTATCGGTTGATGTCAATGACAAAGTCGCACTATATATTCATAAACGTTAGGTGACATATCTCAAAATCATCTGTGGTTGCACAAATCTTGTTGACTGTTTATCGCGTTTTAGATCTCAAGCTTAGTATTATTTCATAATTCATAGTCCCTCCATTTATCCGTTTTATTTGAGATTATTCTCAGTCAGCTACAAACGTAGGACCAGGCACATATATGCATCGGTCCAAGTTGCCACACCTCATTAGCACAACAAGATGATCACCAAATTCATAGAAGTAGTTACATCACTATGAAAGAGAGATTGTATATAAGGATATGGCACAGGAAGAAAGAATTAGTTGATGGAAAGAAAGATATAAAGCAATTTTAATCTCACGGTTTAAGGGAAGACAAAGAGTTTAAACATCTGCACAATTGTGATCGATTCTGAGCCATGTGACCCAGAGTCTCCAACTATTGGTTACGATAGTCACGCGTACCCCAACCAAGTAGTCTGCATCTACCAACATGGCTCAGACTAGAGGTTAGTGACTCCAAGCACTGATGTCACGTTTTGGTTTGGCCTCCGCTAACTTTCTTCCATCCGTCTCCAACACTAGTCAGCATTGTGTATCGTGATAATCGATGTCCAGGCATACATAACACGTCGCCCAACCATCTCAGTCTATGAAGATTTACAACCTCATCAACTGATTTATCATCATCGTAATTCCCTGAAACCACGCTCTAAACTACATGTAGGAGCTCGTTGTGGCTAGTTTCCTCTATATCTGACTCCAATAAATGATACTCCGTTAACTGAGTATTTCAGGTAGGCTAAATCTCCTAGTAGAATTACGGATTTACTCTAGATTATTCAGAAGCCTGAACACCAGTTGTAGAGATATTTTATTGTGAAAGATAAATGAAATCTACAAGCGTGCAGCGAGCAAGCACACTGTGAAACCAAGAGAGTGTGTGTGTGAGTTAAAAATCCATATATATTTTTGAGTGTCAATCAAGTGTGGATAAATTATTGACTATCTGTATATTACAACCAATAGGAGAATAGATTAAGGTTGATGTGCAGACATGCGCTCAATCATATACACACAGAAATTAACATAGTGAATTAAGTATCTGAATTACAATGAGCAGATAAATAATACAATAGTTGAATGGGCTTCCTACAAGCTTTTAATGTACGATCACTGTACCAAATAGGACAACAGGCTCCCTTAGCCAGGACTTTAGAATCTCGCGCCATCGATGTGTGCTGCGTCTCCGGAACGCGCATACAGGGTCCGAGTAGCTTTGTTCATTTGACATCACCATGTCAAAACAAAGAACCAACTCGATTTACGCTTCGTGTATCTGGAAGCCCTGATTCTGCTTCCCGTGGCCTCGCCGGCGTAGGTATAGCATTGAGTCCTAAGGCAGAACTAGCTCTCTTAGACTGGATCCCAGTAGACAGTCGTTTGTGCGCTGTCCGACTGAAGGGAACAGTAAGAATCCGGAAAGATAGGGACACTCGTCGTTGCCTCTTCGTTGTCTCTGCCTATTCACCCACTGACTGCAGCTCAGATGATGTAAAAGATGAGTTTTACAGAAAGCTTTCCGACCTTCTCCTAAAAGCTAGGCGCTCTGATGTAGTAATAGTGGCCGGTGACTTTAATGCTCAAGTAGGTAAACTTAGCGATAGGGAAAGACACCTAGGTGGATCTTATGGTGTCGTGGCTCAAAGAACAGATAATGGCGACCGTCTGTTGCAGCTATGCTCAGATAACCGCCTGTTCCTTGCAAATACTAACTTTAAGCATAAGGAAAAACATCTTTTAACATGGCGACCCCCTAATTCGTCCCAACGTTGGACCCAAATAGATCACATTGCTATCAACTACCGATGTAGGGGCTTGATAGAAGACCGTCGCTCATTCTGGAACACATGCCTAGATTCAGATCATGCTCTAGTGCGAGCGCGTATTTGCTTGCGTCTTACTGGACGTCGGAAAGATGCTGCAAGGAAACCTTTTAGGGCCTGTTTAATGATAGTCAAGCTACGAGTAATTTCAGGAACAACTAGGAAAACAGTTAGGCAGCCATGTATGTGATGCCCACCCCGAGGCAGCATGGAATGATATCCGAAAAGCTGTGGAAACAGCAGTGATATCTGCTAGTATGGTAAACCGTGAGGTTAGAGAGCAACACTGGATCTCAGCAGCATCTACCGCACTGATAGATGTTCGAAAACTCATTCCATCTGGATCTGAAAATAACGAAGAGCGGAGTCAGCTTAAGCGCAAGCTGACAAGAAGCCTACGCAATGATCGCGAACAGTGGTGGGTAGCGGAAACGAGGGAGATGGAAAAGGCAGCGGCAATAGGTAATAGCAGACAATTGTCCAGACTCGTTAGGGAAACCGGTATTAAGAACCCGACTGTTAGCGAAACACTCTTAGAGAAAGATGGACATATTATACATTCTCAATCCAGGAAATTGGATCGATGGGCAAAACATTTTAGGGATCAGTTCAACTGGCCCTCAGCCACACTTCGGTTTCCCACGATCTCCAGTTAACCTGAATGGCAAGTTAATGTAGGTCCTTCGTCCCTTTTCGAAGTTGTCATTGACGTACTTTTAGAGATAACACTCTCCTCATCTAAATTTACAGGGGTTGAACTTCTACCGGGAGGTTCACTTGTTGACTTAGAATATGCTGATGACATAGTTCTATTTGGTGAAGACGCTGACAAAATGCAGAGTCTTCTGACTACTAAGCAACAATGCAGGCATGTTCGGGATGCGATTCTCTCCCTCAAAATGCAAAATGTTGCTTCAGGATTGGGTTGCATTGACACCCGAACTAATGATAGGGAGTGAAGTAATTGAGCGTGTCGATCGCTTCACTTATCTTGGAAGTCTCATCAGCCCTTGTGGTCTGGTGTGTGACGAAATCTCAGCACGGATACAGAAGGCTCGACTAGCTTATACCAACTTGCGTCATTTATGGCGTAGGCGAGATATCCGTCTATCAACCAAAGGACGTGTTTACTGCGCAGCAGTTCGTTCCGTCCTACTTTATGGCAGTGAAACATGGCGGGTAAGAGTAGAGGATATCCGTAGGTTACTAGTATTTGATCATAGGTGTCTTCGAAATATTGCTCGTATATCATGGGACCATCGAGTAAGTAATGCAGTTGTTAGGAAACGGGTACTAGGTAAAGATGGTAAATCAATTGATGAAGTAGTGAAACTTCATCAGTTGAGATGGCTGGGACACGTGTTACGTATGCCCAACGACCGACTGCCTCGATGTGCGATGTTCAGTGGTATAGGAGTAGGTTGGAAGAAAGCTAGGGGCGGCCAAACCAAAACATGGCACAAGTCCATGAAGTCACTGACAAGTGAACTGAGTCATGTTGGTAGGTGTAGACTACCTGGTTGGGGACCGCGAGATGATAGCAACCGATGGTTAGAGACCCTGAATGACATGGCTGAAAATCACTTGCAATGGTGTGCGCAGGTGCATCCACTCTCTGTGTTCTTCCAAATTCTAATCTTCTGAATCCTTCATGTCCCTTTCTTTTTCCTCTTTCCAAATTTATTTCACTGTATTATACTCTTTAAATAACATCTCCAAACCCTAATCTTTCGGATTACTGCTTATACGCTTGCTACCTCTACCACTACGGGATTTGAATCGACAACTGCATCTCTGTGCTAATGTGGTGTGGCAACTCGAACTGATGTACGTACGTACGAAGTTCTACGTTGTTACTGACTGACTGACTAATTCCCTAATACCCTGCGTCTAAACTGATTATTGCTTACCCGGTGATCTCAGCAGATACGAGCAATATTTCTAAGACATCTGTGGTCAAATAACAGTAACTTACGGGTATCCTCTATTCTTAATGGTCACGTTTCGTGGCCGTAAAACAAAAGTGAACGAACTGCCGTGCAGTATACTCGTCCTTTAATTGATAGACAGATATCTCGCCTTCGCCATAGGTAACGTAAGTTGACAAAAGCCAAACGAGCTTTTTGAATTCGTGCTGAGGTTTCGTCAGACGCCAAAATATTAGGGTTGATCAGACTTCCAAGATAAGTGAAGTTGTCGACACGTTAGACTACTTCACTCCCTACCCTCAGCTCAGTTGCTGAAGTAGGTCAGTCCTGAAGCAACAACTTGCGTTTAGAGGGGGAGAGACGCATCACAAACATCCCGCTATTGTTGCTGAGTGCTACGAAATGACTGCATTTTATCAGCGTCTTCACCAAACAGGACTATGTCATCTGCGTATTTTAAGTCGATGAGTGGACCTCCTGGTAGGATATTAGCTCGAAAATTCACTTAACGAGAACGTTATTTCCAGCAGTAGGTCTACGATGAAGTTGAACAAAAATGGTGATAGTGAACAACCTTGCCGGACACCTTGAGGTTGCAAAGTCAGATGGTAGTTCTCCATCACTTCTGACCCGACTGGTAGTGTTCGAGTAATGAGCCTTCACAAGGTTTATGTACTTCTGAGGTACACCTTTCAATACCACAGAACCTCTCGGTCGGACACCGATAAGCATACCTGTGTTCGAAGTTCTGACGAATGGTGAGTATGTGGTCGATGAAGCCACGACCAGGTTTAAAGCCAGCCTGTTGATTATTGAGGCTAGTATGGTTATCGCAGGATGATTTTTATCCCTTCCTATATATTGGGACAATCAGTGATTGCAACCAGTCAGATGAGATTACATTCAGTTCCCAGATTTCGGCTAAAATATTAGTCAACCTAATCGCTAAAATTGGACCATCATATTTGAATACCTCTTGAGCCAATCCATCTGGATGAGCTGATCTTCCTCGTTTCAGATTAGCTATAGCTTTTTGAACCTCAAGTAGTGGTTGATAAAGATAAACATTTTGATCTCATAAAGTCTGAAGCTACAATACTGTTGAAATCTGTACTATGGAGAGCTAGCTAGATTCAGTTGCAAATGTGTTTCTGTCTTTTTGTTTGTAATAAATTATTGGTTCACTACGATTGGTAAGCCCAACCGCCACGTCAAGGTAGCTGCAACGGTCTGGTAACATTATTCTATGTATTTATTCAATGTTATTTGTATTCTTCTGTTGATTTCCATATTTCATCTTGCTTACTTCTTATCGTTGTATTGTTGTGAAGCGTGACAGCTAGGATCGATGCAAATTTATAAAGGTGTGCGGTGTGAAAGGTTCAGATGCTCGGGTTGATTTATTACTGTTCATGTGGTTCACAGTGGGGACTCAAAATACTACAAGGAATCGAAACCAGTTCTTAAGTCTCAAATGGAGTGACGTCGAAAATGTCGATATTACCCCAAAGCAGTGTTATTATAACCTCTTAAACATCTCACTAATATCGTGACTTCCAGTGCGTCAACGCCACTTAATTCACACTTATCTTTCGGTTTCTTTGTTTTGTAAGATGTTATATATACTGAGTTATTTATTTCATTTGTTGTTTTTTCTCGAGAAATGAAAGCCCTATTGTCAAGTCCTTGTTTTTCCCTTATCCATTTTTGGTTGTCATCATTGAAATGTTGTGTATTGAGTCATATCAAATCCGCTCTCATCTTAGTACCAGCTCTTATTTATCCTTATTTTAGACATAACTGAATTAGACTTTACGAAAAGGACAGAAAGCAAACCATAGTAGGACAAAGCAACTATCGGATGTTCTTTTTTTCTCAGCTAATGTCGTTCCTTGATGGAGACCACTTTTACATTGAACTAATATTCGCACTAAACTACTTATTCTTTCCGGCTTGAAACTGCTTCTCATTACCGGCTGACACCGGTCAGAAAAATAGTATGTATGTATTAGTATGTATCCTGATTTGTGTACCAGCTTTTGGGATTTCAGTCTAACTCTGAATTGAATAATTTTCACTAATCCTTTATCCCAGTGTTGCCTACCCTATGTGATTTTATTTCCAAATTTTAAAGTCATCAATTTAAGTGCTTTTACAAATTTAAGTCAGCTGATTTTATTCATTTTGGATATAAAGAACACTGAAACGTAGTAATTTTGTATAAATCAATTTTCATACTTATTAGATATCTAGTGTCTCTATTGTCTAATATCACTTCTTTTTCTTTCCATAACTTCAGACCACAAGGTGAATCACGTGTACTTCCATTTTCGGAACGGACATGTGACTTACTGGAAGCTCAATACAAATTAAGTGTAGAACAAAGTCAATGGGGCAAACGTTTTGACTTACCATCAGAAGATAAACGTGGTGGTAGTGATGTGTTTATTTTTAATAGCCCACAAGTAATTTAGTAATTGACAATATTATTCCTATTTGTTTGTATTTTCTTACCATTGTTGAGTATTGAACATATTGCAAAGTTCTAACTCATCATAAATATTGATAATTCTTATTAGTGGGATTGTAGGATGACGACAGAACTTATATTCTAGCTTTAGTATTCCATCAAGACAAATAAATAATTTGTTTATTCTCTTTGGTTATTATGAATTCGATGTTTCCCTATTTTGTGCTACGCTTCATAACTACCCTAGACTTTGCATATTTATTTGTTGTGAATTTATTTTCAAACATTTTTATAAATTCATTCTTGTTTCTGTCTAAAGTCGATATCAACCTTTAAAAAAAATCAGTTTTCCATTGGATTACGATATGTTGTATTTTTTTATACACTCAATAATTTATTCGATGATAAATTTTACTCATTCGTAGGTTCGAATTCCATCCTTTAGCTTTCAAACCTAGAGCATGGCTCATATCTAATTAGGTGGTAAATGAGTTGGTGAAATTAAACTAAATAAATTTTATTTATTTCAAGTTTCATGGTTACTAACTAATCGCTAAATGACTGTTTATTAAAGATAGATCTAATGTCTTATTTAATATTTAATGTTTTAATGGGTATATTCCGTTTATTAAGTGACTGTTTCGCAGAATGTACATGGAAAAGTGATTAAAAATTGTTGTTAAGCTCAAATGTTTCACTAACCAGAACTTTAAGAGTTACCCATAATTTGTATAATGTAATAGGAGGACGAAGATTGTCAGAACTATGTGATGATATATTAGCGCAATATATTTCGAACGATCCGATCATACGTATACTTGTTAAGAACATTTACATATAAAAATTAAAAGGTCAGCTAAACAGATGGTGGGTAAGAGGAGACAAAGATAATTAGTTGAAGTTAGACATTAAAACCGTTGAATGCCGACTCAGTGGTCTAGAGGTTAAGAATTCACAAGTGAGATCGAAGTTCCTGGGTTCGAGCCCCGCGAGCGGAATCGATCGGTTCATGATCGCAATCAAGAAAGACAATAAGGACGATAATATGAAAAACAATGTGAAAACTCGTCACGCTGGATAATAAACTAATATTGTCAGAGTAGGTATAAGATTTTATTATTTTAGTATACTGAGTTTTCGCATTGTTTTTCATATTTTGTTTATTATTTTTGTCTCCTCTTATCCTCCATTTCTAGTCTGGTTGACCTTTTATTTATATATATAAATGTTCTTAACAAGTATATGTGTTATCGAAATGTATTGCGCTAATATGTTATCACACTTCTGATAATCTTCGTCTTCTTATTACACTATCCAAAGTTATCAAAGGAACTAATTGTTTTGTTGATAACTACTGTATTGAACATTAGAGTCGATTTTCTTGTTAGGAAAAATCTATTCTGATTTTCAGACATTGTGAATTGTTGATATGGAATGGATTTCAGGAGATGTAGTCCCATAGTAGCCGGTGACCGACAATTAGTCATACGCAATTTGTTCCTTCAGGATACTACAGCCCATGTGCACCATTGGTTTGGAATCAGGGTTTTCCAACTCCTCTAGGTGAACACGGGGTGTCCACCAACCCGGTTAAAGTGCCGAACATTCATTTTTTGTCCTCTCAATTTCTTAGACAACACTCCCTTCGCGAGAAGACAGTGAATAGGACTTTGCTGGTAGTGGCTGTATACGCGTGGCCATGTGAGCATTTCGAGAGGCAGAGCGGACTCTCCCCACTCTCGGCTGTACCATAGCTATTAGGGGTCATTGTTTCATGAATTAGATGTGTTCAGTCAAAGTTATAAGAATGTAGTTTCCCGCTGTTTATATCGTCAAATATATTTTTGATTTTTGCCTAACACCTTATTTATTCTCATTACTACCGACAAAACTTGTTCTTTATTTCCTTTTTTTCCATATCACACTTCTGTTTTACTCTTAGTCAATGATTCAATATTTAGCCTGGCCATATGATTTATCTTCAACAACGAACTCGGGAAATGTTGTTGCCGGTACATCGTCACCATTTATTCATTTAGATCCAAGTCAAATATCCCAAGAAATGTCTTTAACTGGTCAATTATTTGAAGGACGTGTGTGCTACCTACATCGTGGTCTAAATGAACAATTGATGGAAACAGATAGACGAGGGAGATTATAAACCAATTGATCAGTTATTTTTCATTGTACATGGCATCGGCTCAATATATAATTTAAAAGGACAAGGTTTGGTAGAATGTGTTAATGATATGAGGTGAGTGGTACATATGTGAAAGTTATATAGTACTTCAAATACTGATAAATGCTTCGTAATATGATATATATTGTATATAAATGTTGTGAATTATAGAAAAGATCTCCATAACTATGTGTTCATTGTTTCGTCTATTGTCTAAACAGCATTTAGGACGACAGGATATCAGTTGAAACACTCCAAGTATAATCACCAAATCTCAGGTTAAAACCCATTATACCTACTATGATTTCGTTAACTGGGCCGTACTATCACCAACCTTCATACAAAGTTTTGTTCAAAGCCCTGAGTACACAAAGCTGTACTTGGTAAATGAGTAATAATAATCAATTAATTTCGACTGTTATTACCAACCATTTTAGTGTTTCATTAAAGTGAAGTGCATCTTTCAGTAGTCTGTGGGTTTATTTTACTCTAGACTGCATTGAGTTAACGCATATCGTGCGAAATTTCAACATTGTATCATTTATCTAACTAATGCTTTATACAGATTTTAGCTTTAAATTCTTGTGTTCGTATAAAACTAACTGTATGAATTTTAGTCACTTAGTATAACTTAATTTATGTGTGGAACATGTATTTATTTTTCATATGGATACATTTTTAGGTAAAAGGTTTGTGGACATTTCAAAAATTCATAGGTGATATTCCAAGAACAGTGAACAGCTGCATTGTCCTATATGTGACTCGTAGTGCTCCTCACGAACTAAAACAGAACGATTTCCAGTGCTCGGTAGTTTTTATATGTTTTCGTTTTGCATGAAAGTTGCTTGTACATTTATTATCCTGATCGTAGCTGCTAAGTTGATGTGGTGTTAGGAATTTCGATCTTACCGACCCAATTCAGGTATACTTGTTGGAACACTTGTTTCTTTAGATACTGCCATGCCAGTGGTAGTTTGAAGAACGATCAGACTAAAAGCAGTAACTTCAGGTTCGATGACAAATTTTACTTTTGAATATATTGGGTTTGATGGCGGTTCAGTTCTTACCTCAGATAATGTTTCGGAAAAGCTGGATAATAATCACTCAGCCTGAAAAACTAGAACTATCGGCGAATATAATAAAAATAATATTTTGTAATATCCCAAGAGTAAAATTAGATTTTCTGACGTTTCGTGACTTAGTGTAAGCCACTTCTTCAGAGAATAAATAACCACTAAGTCACGAAATGTCAGAAAATGTAATTTCTACTTATTGGGATATTAAAATTTATTATTTTTATTATAACAATCAACCCAATGCTCAATTTATTCGAATTATAGTCAAACCTTGGTAATGATACCTATCGCGGAATACTTTGAAGAACAGCTTAACTGTTCTCCAGCTACCCTACAGTTGCTTACCTTACCAATAAACCCAAATAAGATTTCAAGTTCTTCATGAAGTAGAAAAAGCCATACCTAAATCAAAGGCTGGGGAGAGCAACAGGCTCTGGCGGCCTAACCATGGAAATGTCTAAGGATAGGAACTAAACGTAATTTTATCAGACACTCCACTCGGTGTCTGCAATCGTCCGCTTGTAAAAGATTACAAACTAGATGCGAATAGATAGTACATGCCCAAGTCCCCTAATTCCGTGTTTCAAGATTTTAGCCAGTTGAATTACTGTTACTGTGCCTGAACCTCAGCATTACTAATATGGTGTTGCCACCGAATGTCGGTAGTCCTTTCTAGACAACAATGATCAAACACAGGGAGTTGTTTAACTTTCTCAATTGTGAAAGACCATTCAGCCGGAAGGATAACTTTAGATAGCCCTAAGGTGTTAATGAACCTCCCAGCCATAGCCTTATTCAATAGGCAATCCCAGAGAACATTCCTGTCTCCCCTGGTATCAAGAAACACAGCGATGTTGCCCTGAATAGGTATGATGTGTTCTGACATTTGAACTAATGTGCTATCGTCGAAGTAGGGCAGTTTGAAGGCATACGTGTTTCAGAAGTGTTGGTTCAGAGTTCACATCGATGGTATCTATTTTTATTTATTTATTATTTATTTTAACACAGATATTGGTACAAGGAGGCACCAAATACATATGCGCCACACAGATCTCATTTTATATGTGTGAGGGCTGTGATACTGCCCGGGTGCCCAAAACGAAACAGGTGGTTTTCTTAGAGGGCCACACCCGAGCCTTCGACCTGAAGGTCTGATCCACAAGGCAATGGAGCAACGTAAGGAGATGTAGTCCCATGGAAGCCGTGACCAACAATTGGTTCATACTCCATATGTTCCCGCAGGATACTGGAGCCCATGTGCACCATTGGTTTGGAATCAGGGTTTTCCAACTCCCCTAGATGGACTCACCATGTCCACCAACCCGATTAAAGTGCTGGACATTCATTTTTCGTCCTTTCAATTTCGTAAGCAACACCCCGCCACGAGAAGGCAGTGAGTAGGACTTCCCTGGTAGAGGCTATATACGCGTGGCCATGTGAGCATCTCGAGAGGGAGAGCGGACTCTCCCCACTCTCGGCCGTACCGGGGCATTCGGGGGTATCATTCAACTTCTAACTTGTGAACGAGTTGAAATCGTCTAGATAGGGGAGGTGGTGTTTGAGTTGAAAAATAAACGAATACACAAATCGGGAATAAAAGGGAATAGACAAGTGATGCAATGTAAAATAAAAACTAATGTTACCGAATATTTGTGAACATGATTGTGGGATTGGGGATTGAAGGGAGAACAATTTTCCTAGTTGTAGTCATCATCTGGTTTGTGTGTATACTAGGATAATACGCAGATTCTCAAATTGAACAAGGTTGTTCACTTAGAGGTCCACTCCTCGAGTGTTTGACCTAAGGGTCCAATCCATAGGACAGTGGAGCAACGTTACGAGATCCATGCTCATGGTAGCCGGATACTAATAATGGGTTCATAAGCCATTTGTTACCCCAGGACCATGGAGCTCATGTTCACCATTGGTTTTGAGTCAGGGTTTACCAACTCTGGGTGGATCCTCCTTATCCGCTAACCTGAAGTTTTTGTCTAAACAGTTGACCTTAATTTTCAGTATGTTCCTATTTCGTTAGTTGATATATTCCAATCAAATGTGGATTTGTGTATTATCTTATTTTAGAAATACAGCTAAACAGTTGAGTCAAACGCACTTTCCACATCATCCGTATCGTGTGGAATTTTTGCCGATTCTTTGGCACGATGAATTACATTCGGATACTGTGACTGGTTTAGACAAACAGTTGGAACAAATCACTCTTGGTAGTATACCGAAATTAAGACAATTCACAAATGATTCATTAATGGATATATTGTTTTATACAAGTTCTAAATATTCACAACTAATTGTAAATACAGTGGCTAGAGAGATTACTAGGCTACGTGAATTATTTATTTCACGTAATCCAAACTTTACCGTAAGCTGTTACTCCTTTTTAAAAATTTTCTAAAGTTAATAAAGGTGTTTGTACAAATAGTTTAGTTTCTAGGTTAGGCTAAAGTAAGTCAGAGAACCATTGGAAACTGGAGACTTTTGAAGTAGTTGTTTAGTTCCAGTTTTTTGTTCCTTATCAATGCATACCAAAACCATTATGTCTTCTAAAGAGTGCCATACCATGTAAAATACTGAGCTGGAGTCCAATTTTCTACGACCCTAAGTCCATTCAATTATTGGTCGTGTCCGTTATTCACTTTCGTCGGTTGTATTTGTTTTGTTCCTAGCGTAGTTGAACTGCTCTTTTCACAGCTTCTCATTTTAGGTCTACAGGAATCTATTTCAGACACTAGTCATCAAATTATTCAAGTCGTTTTATTTTCATTGAATAGCTCAACCAAAAACAAACGGAAATTCAATTGTCAATAAAAAGGTTGTGTAAGACTGGTATCTGGTGGTCCATCATGACTCGCTGTTGGGATATGAATATAAAAGGGGAGAAACTACTGAATAATTCACATACAGAATTAAAAAAAATAAAGCAGAAATTCAACCATTCACGATTCACTTAAACCCACTGGATCGAACACACACCGTGACTTTACAATTTACCCAAAGTCCACATGACTGGAATTCTTCTTTATCCAATTTTAGATATGTATAGCTCTACATACGACAAAACTGCAAAGCGGTTAGTTCGAATCCTAGGCCCTACATACAAAACGATCGTCAACAGAAGTGTTAGAGACGTTTTCGGTTTCGTTTTCAAGATGCAACATAAGAACTTGAATGGGAATGGGATGTTATATCTAGATGTTGTCTCCTTGTTCACCAGTGTACCATTAACTGAGACTCTTGACTTTGTATGCCAACAACTACTTGAAAAACAGATCAATATTGGAATTCCTGAGTTTAACCTCAAAGAATTCTGAAGTGTACAACGAATGTCAATTTTGTCTTTAATAATACATATTATAGACAATTGATGGAATAGAGATGCGTTCATCTCTAGGTCCTGCCATTGCTGATTTTTTTCTTGCGAAACTAGAAAATGGACCTCTCAGAGAGGTTAGCGATAAGCTTGACCTCTGTTGTCGTGAACTGATGATGCAACTCATTAATAAAGCATATGTTCATGGATTCTCTGTACACTCTTTGTTCGGTGCTCAGTAATACTGCCCGACTGTTTGAATGGTCATAAACAGACTCGGTTTCAAGTTTGCGACTATGGTTTAAATTGTCTGATTTTCTAACTACCTAACTACTGCTTTACTTTTACGAGAGTTTAATTCCTCCTGTAATAATTATGATTTTAATTTTGTCTCCCTAATTCTAAGGCAAAGTAAAGCCAAGCACAAGATTTTGTTTTTAAAGGCGAACAGTTACGCGCTTGAGTATTACTGTTAAATAAGTAATCTAATGGCGTCTTCATCCTTTACCACTAAGCCTCAATCAGTTGAGTATTCTAACAGAATCAATAACTCGTAACATTGGTGCACATAGGCTTTGTTTTTACATTGCTATTGAGCTATCCTAAAGTGACAACTATATGCTACTTAACATTCTATTTATCATACGTGGTGAAACACTATTATGATTATGTGGTTGTTATATGTCTCTCCTACGTTTATAACCCAGCTATTCATATTACTTAGTATTCTTGGACACCAAATCACTCGACAAGTCCCCAAATCAGAACACGGGTGAACAGGAAAGAGACCATATTCCAAATAACAAGGTTAGATGGAAGCCAGAAGCAAGTCAGTAAGTACAATAGGGAAAACGTTAGTATATTTATAGTTTTTCACATGAGATTTCTAGTGTTCACTAAGTATTGACTAACTCTAACTGGATAAAAATTAGCCAATCAGCATGCACCAAAGCAGTTGTGCATTGAACATGCTTTAATCCAGTCTATGTCCCGCTAACAGTGGTGTTGTTGATTAGAAAAGCAATAGTTTACTGTTACTATATTTGAAGAGATTACGAGTTCACCTAATCTGTGAACAGAACTAAGACTCAGCGACACAAAGACCAATTCAGCTCATACCCGTAACAGCACAAGAGACCAAGGTGGTCACATTCAAATCCTTCCTACACCTCCTAATACCTCTCTTATCTCCATGACTAACCCTCCTCACGTCTCTTTATCACCTCGCACCGCTAGGGCAAACGATTTGAGTACGTGGAACGCCATTCCTGGTCTCCTGAAACCACGCTCTAAACTACACGTAGGAGCTTTTAACGTACGAACACTTTGCCAAATAGGACAGCAGGCTTCCTTAGCTAAAACTTTAGAATCTCGCGCCATCGATGTGTGCTGCGTCTCCGAAACGCGCATACAGGATCCAAGTAGCGTCATTCATTTGACCTCACCATGCCAAAATAAAGAACCAACTCGATTTACGCTTCGTGTATCTGGAAGCCCTGATTCTGCTTCCCGTGGCCTCGCCGGCGTAGGTATAGCATTGAGTCCTAAGGCAGAACTAGCTCTCTTAGACTGGATCCCAGTAGACAGTCGTTTGTGCGCTGTCCGACTGAACGGAACAGTAAGAATCCGGAAAGATAGGGACACTCGTCGTTGCCTCTTCGTCGTCTCTGCCTATTCTCCCACTGACTGCAGCTCAGATGATGTAAAAGATGAGTTTTACAGAAAGCTTTCGGACCTTCTCCTAAAAGCTAGGCGCTCTGATGTAGTAATAGTGGCCGGTGACTTTAATGCTCAAGTAGGTAAACTTAGCGATAGGGAAAGACACCTAGGTGGATCTTATGGTGTCGTGGCTCAAAGAACAGATAATGGCGACCGTCTGTTGCAGCTATGCTCAGATAACCGCCTGTTCCTTGCAAATACTAACTTTAAGCATAAGGAAAAACATCTTTTAACATGGCGACCCCCTAATTCGTCCCAACGTTGGACCCAAATAGATCACATTGCTATCAACTACCGATGTAGGGGCTTGATAGAAGACCGTCGCTCATTCTGGAACACATGCCTAGATTCAGATCATGCTCTAGTGCGAGCGCGTATTTGCTTGCGTCTTACTGGACGTCGGAAAGATGCTGCAAGGAAACCTTTTAGGGCCTGTTTAATGATAGTCAAGCTACGAGTATATTTCAGGAACAACTAGGAAAACAGTTAGGCAGCCATGTATGTGATGCCCACCCCGAGGCAGCATGGAATGATATCCGAAAAGCTGTGGAAACAGCAGTGATATCTGCTAGTATGGTAAACCGTGAGGTTAGAGAGCAACACTGGATCTCAGCAGCATCTACCGCACTGATAGATGTTCGAAAACTCATTCCATCTGGATCTGAAAATAACGAAGAGCGGAGTCAGCTTAAGCGCAAGCTGACAAGAAGCCTACGCAATGATCGCGAACAGTGGTGGGTAGCGGAAACGAGGGAGATGGAAAAGGCAGCGGCAATAGGTAATAGCAGACAATTGTCCAGACTCGTTAGGGAAACCGGTATTAAGAACCCGACTGTTAGCGAAACACTCTTAGAGAAAGATGGACATATTATACATTCTCAATCCAGGAAATTGGATCGATGGGCAAAACATTTTAGGGATCAGTTCAACTGGCCCTCAGCCACACTTCGGTTTCCCACGATCTCCAGTTAACCTGAATGGCAAGTTAATGTAGGTCCTTCGTCCCTTTTCGAAGTTGTCATTGACGTACTTTTAGAGATAACACTCTCCTCATCTAAATTTACAGGGGTTGAACTTCTACCGGGAGGTTCACTTGTTGACTTAGAATATGCTGATGACATAGTTCTATTTGGTGAAGACGCTGACAAAATGCAGAGTCTTCTGACTACTAAGCAACAATGCAGGCATGTTCGGGATGCGATTCTCTCCCTCAAAATGCAAAATGTTGCTTCAGGATTGGGTTGCATTGACACCCGAACTAATGATAGGGAGTGAAGTAATTGAGCGTGTCGATCGCTTCACTTATCTTGGAAGTCTCATCAGCCCTTGTGGTCTGGTGTGTGACGAAATCTCAGCACGGATACAGAAGGCTCGACTAGCTTATACCAACTTGCGTCATTTATGGCGTAGGCGAGATATCCGTCTATCAACCAAAGGACGTGTTTACTGCGCAGCAGTTCGTTCCGTCCTACTTTATGGCAGTGAAACATGGCGGTAAGAGTAGAGGATATCCGTAGGTTACTAGTATTTGATCATAGGTGTCTTCGAAATATTGCTCGTATATCATGGGACCATCGAGTAAGTAATGCAGTTGTTAGGAAACGGGTACTAGGTAAAGATGGTAAATCAATTGATGAAGTAGTGAAACTTCATCAGTTGAGATGGCTGGGACACGTGTTACGTATGCCCAACGACCGACTGCCTCGATGTGCGATGTTCAGTGGTATAGGAGTAGGTTGGAAGAAAGCTAGGGGCGGCCAAACCAAAACATGGCACAAGTCCATGAAGTCACTGACAAGTGAACTGAGTCATGTTGGTAGGTGTAGACTACCTGGTTGGGGACCGCGAGATGATAGCAACCGATGGTTAGAGACCCTGAATGACATGGCTGAAAATCACTTGCAATGGTGTGCGCAGGTGCATCCACTCTCTGTGTTCTTCCAAATTCTAATCTTCTGAATCCTTCATGTCCCTTTCTTTTTCCTCTTTCCAAATTTATTTCACTGTATTATACTCTTTAAATAACATCTCCAAACCCTAATCTTTCGGATTACTGCTTATACGCTTGCTACCTCTACCACTACGGGATTTGAATCGACAACTGCATCTCTGTGCTAATGTGGTGTGGCAACTCGAACTGATGTACGTACGTACGAAGTTCTACGTTGTTACTGACTGACTGACTGATTCAGCTAACTATTCCGATTCGTCCCAGTCCCGCTAACTAGAGAGAGAAGTTCAAGTACATAAGAAGGAAATATATTCCACAAGCAGCCAGAAGCACGAATAACACCGACAATAAGCACACCTCAAGCGTATATATACACCATAAAATTGTCCTTGGGGAACGTTACAAAATAGCATATTAAAAGAGACAACGAACCAATAGTATTTAAGGTCCTCTCATGTGGGAAATACGATATGAAGATTTACTTACTGTCTTCTCGCGAAGGGAGTGTTGTTTAAGAAATTGAGAGGACGAAAAGCGAATGTCGAGCACTTTAATCGGGTTGGTGGACATGGAGAGTCCATCTAGGGGAGTTGGAAAACCCTGATTCCAAACCAATGGTGCAAATGGGCTCCAGTATCCTGCGGGAACATATGGAGTATGAACCAATTGTTGGTCACCGGCTTCCATGGGACTACATCTCCTTACGTTGCTCCATTGCCTTGTGGATCAGACCTTCAGGTCGAAGGCTCGGGGTGTGGCCCTCTAAGAAAACTACCTACTTCGGTTTCGGCACACGTGCAGTATTGCAGCCCTTATACATATCGAACGTTTTATGTGGCGCATATGTATTTGGTGCCTCCTTGTACCAATATTTATGTGTTTAAATAATAATAATGATTCAGTTACAACCATGTCTGGGCATTCGGATAGTGTCGTTAACCTTCATAAAACTAAGTTATTACTCAAAATAAGTACATACACACTATATAAGTCACATATATCCATAGTTAGTGAAAAAAAGATTGTATTTAGTTGAGCTTTATCATGTACTTCACTTGAAACGTTTGTCAGGAAATTGCAATTATATCCATTAATTGTTTATTTTTAAATTTTAGGGTAATATCTCTATTATTGGTCATAGTTTAGGGGCTGTCATATCGTTTGATTTATTATGCCATCAAGCTGCTTATAATTCATTATATACTACCACAACTGATCAATCTCCAACAGTATCGTTGTCTACAGTACATAATAATAACAATAATAGAACAATTGGTAGTACTTTTATTACTAATACAGATTCGCAATCGAAAACAATCAATGATGTGAATTATGTTGATGAACCACATAGTGAAGTAAAGGTCGACCAGTTTACAGATGATATTATGAGTTCTTCCAAAATATCAGCAACTACTTTTCCTGCTTCTACGATAACGAGTGTTACTAGTAGCATTAGTAGCTGTAGTAATGGTTCTACAACAATGGTGACTGATACAAACACTTCTCTGAATATTTCATCATTATCATCTGCCTCATCATCGTCAACTTGTCCATCGAAAGACCATACTAATGATGAAAATAAAAGTGAACATAGTACCACTATGTCAGATGCAGGACAAAATGATATGGGTGAATGGTCTATTGTTGATGATTGCCATCATCGTAACCGTTCAAAATCCAAGTTCAATAATGATAATAATACGAATGGAAGCCAATCACAGCCAATGCTCAATCTGTCTCTAAATAACATCAGTCAACTTAACGAAATCTTATCACAAAATGGATTAAATGTTGACCAAACACGTAGTATACTTCAATCAATCTTAAAATGGAATAAAATTAATCAACTTAAAAGCGAATCTGTTGAAGATTTAGAAAAGGAAAATAGCTATCACGATATGCTGGCCAATTCAAGTATCATTACTGGGCAAATTTTACCAAACATTGTTACAACTGCTTCAAATTCAATGTTGACGTCATTTTGGTTGGAAAATCATTGTTTCTATGCAAACCAGTGCAACAGTAACAATGCTGGATTTGGTATTACACTGCCTAACTATCATCAATTAGGCTTTACTATATCTGGCTTATATACATTAGGCTCACCTATACCATTGTTTTTAACTGCACGTGGTATTAAAACGTTGAGTAGCGAATTTCACTTGCCAACATGTTCAACATTTTATAACATATTTCATCCATTCGACCCAGTTGCCTATCGTATGGAAACACTGATTGATTCAGAATTTCAGGTAAAGATTATTGAGTTATATTTACTATTCCTACTTAGTTGGGACTATTTAATAATATTGTAGTGATTACTATTAAACGAACTTGCTGGTTTAATTTTGGAATAGTCCCATGATCACGTCCCAATTCTAACCTCTCATCAAACCTCGGGGGTTGGCTGGTGTTTGACAAAGTTTCCCCATTGATTTGGAAAGCTTGTTTAGCTCTTGTCAGCTTGATCCACTTTCAGTGTAAGCGAGATATTCGCCTGCCAACTAAGGGGAGTATATTGCGCAGCGGTATTCCCAGTACTACTGTCTGTGAAACATGCCCTATGAAAGAAGAAAACGTACGTAGGCTGCATGTTTTAGATTTTAAGTATCTTTAAAGCATTTTTCGTGTATTTTGGGACCACTGAGTGAACAATGCTGAGGTCAAACTCAAGGTGTTATCTGAATATGTCGAATCAGTTGATCAGGTTGTGAATCTCCTTCGACTGAAGTGACTGGGACGTGTATCACCTACGTCTGACCACTGCCTACTTTGATGTGCGATGTCAGCCGACAAATGAGTTCTTTGGAAACGAAGAAAAGTCGACCAAATCAACATCATCGACTACTGGTCAAAGTAATTTCAATGGGTTCAGTCTACCTGGTTTGTGTGATTGATGACGTGACTCGGAATCTGTTACAGTGGCACAAATAGGTCAATTTCTTCCCCTAAATATTGAGTTTCAATGCATTTTATTCATTTAGCTTCGTTAGTTTCATCTTGTGCTAGTGTGGTTTGGCAATTTGAGCTAGCACACCTTTTTAATCAATTCTATGTTGATTATGACTACTGACCATAGGTTTGTCTTCCACACATTACTTATTTCGTACATTTTTCTCACCATGTCATAATTCCTTCAACGAAATAACTTGCTTTTCAGTGCATCACCCGATATGCAGTTGGTCAACTACTCGCTGTTGCAATTAAGCAATCTGAATAAATACCACTGAGTGACAAATAAATTAATATGTTTGTAATATCCCATTTAGTAGGAAAATTAGATTTTCTGACCTTTCGTGACTCAGTGTATATATTAATTTATTTATAACAATCTACCAAATGCTCAATTTATTCGAAATTATCAAGTCAAACCTTGGTAATGATACCTACCAACTCAATAATATTACTGAGTGAGTTTAGGCTTCTATAATATAGACAGTTTTCTGGGGCGTTGAAACCAATCTGACGCATAGACAGTATTAGTTGCTGCTTATAACACAAAGATGTGTGTTCAGCTGTGTTGTTTGAGAACGATTTATCAGATAAATTTTTATTTAAATCCAGTTAGCGTTAGTAGTTATCGGTGTATGTTTTCTTACTAGTATGTTCATATGCTTTGGCATACTCGAATGCTGATGATGTATGAGTGACTGAGATTCCCCAGCTACCCACACTGTTGATGAATTTGTATTAGTAAGTGTTGGGGACGTTAGATCCCCGGAACTCACTTGGGAAAGGATCTAATTTTGTAATTTTATTTAAAAAATTTGAATTTCTTTGTTTTCGCACCAAAGGCGCTCTTCTCACCGTCATGTTGTATTTCATACTTGTGAGAATCTTAACTGCTATTGGTCCATTGTGTCTTTTAGTATGCTATTTTGTAATTCTCCCTAAGGTCGGTTTTGTGTTATATATATACGTTTTGATTTGTGTCTGTTGTTATCGCTCCTTTCTGGCTGTTTGCATAATATACTTCCCCATTCCAAGCTTGGACTTCTCCTAGTTAGCGGGACTGGGATACATCAAATAGCTAGCTTACTGGTTTTTGGTCACTGAGTCTTTGTTCCGTTCGCAGTCTAAGGGAACTCGTAACCGCTTCAAACCTAGCAGTAAGCTCATCGATCTCGGATCCTGATTAAATGTTCACGGAATATTTAGCTATCTGGTTTCGTTTGTACGTAGTCTGATTAAGTTGTAACAGTAAACAAGCTGGACTACCAATTCAAGTTAGTAGCTACAATCTGTATCTTTATTTATATTTACCCGATGTTTATAAAAGTAAAACTTTTTAGATGATATCATTTGTCATAGGAAGACCAGAGATGTTTTCAGTTTAATTCCACTCATACAAAATGCTTGTTATCCGACCAGACCTGTGCATCATAGTGAGTATATACATGGAATATCTTATTGCCTGAATAAGGTGAAGAAAGTTGACTTGTATTCAGAAACCTGATAATAATTGGGATTTTTTATTCTTGTTTTTGTATTCAACAGCGGTTTTTGTTACGATATTCACTTCATTTCGAAAATCCTACGCTTGTATTGACTGTTATTACTGGTTGATCTATCGAATCTAGTATTATCGTATTTAGGCGAAAAGGCTAATTTTAAAGCGATCACAAAAATAAAGGCCCAAATATATGATGATTGCATTTAGCTAAAAAGATTTATAGTTGTAACCATGTGCTACAATGTTAAAAAATTATTCACAAGATTTCTCTGTTGTTTTCAGTTATTCTTGTTGTGTAATGAATGAATCTACTGATCTGACCGACAGAAGCAGTGTAACTCGAGAATCAACACACTTTCTAGTTACTGCATTATTTTTTCCACCTGTCTGTCTCTCATCAGACATACGATCAGTATTTAGGTATTAGACCGTCAGGTTATATTTTGTTCTACGGTCCAATTTAATGACAGTACATGATTCCTAACACTTTCCCAATCTGGTTTATAGACCATGTAGGTTTAGAGTGTATAGGAAGCTATCTTGCTGGACAGGTTTAGGCAGAGACATGTAGAGGTTGATCTCGGCTAGAGCAATAGTCCGGTTACTCATTAATATCGTAAATTTATTTTACTTGATCTTTTTTGTTTATTTTAACTGAGACTTTCCCGTGCTACGTTTTATCAAACTGTATCTAAAATATTATTTTTCAACATAAAAATCTTGTAAAATGTTACTTTTGTTTAGCAAATCAGATTCTATAGATAGTAATATCTATTTGTCCTTGTAGTATACTTGATTTAGTAAATTAGGTGTTTGTTATACGAATTACAAGTTTATGGTTGTTTTTTCTAAATTACTGTATTTTTTGTTGGAAAACATATCAGTAAATTTATTTGATATAACATGCAGCGAAATAGATTAAATATCGGTTAGATACATGCATATACATACTTACTTCATGACAATCTTACTGTTCAGATTTCCTAATAAGTTTATCTGTGCTGGTAAGCTATAAATACTCTAACCGATAACTTGTACACATCTTTGCAAGATTCTCTGTGTTATGTAATGAAACTTTATACAGAGAGATTAGTTAATTTCTTGGTACGCTTTTACAACTTTTTAGCCATGTGTTCTATTTCGATTTCTTCTTAAAGATGAATATTGACAGTTATCATTGTTTTTCAGCAAAAATCTGTCCTCATTCCACATCATAAAGGTCGCAAACGTATACACTTACAATTGAAAGATAATTTAGCCTGGGTTGGTTCTGAATTAAAAAGTAAATTCTATAATTCAGTTCAATCTACTTGGCGCAGTCTACATGAATTTGCATTGGCTCATAAGTAAGTGAAATTGTGTATGCAGATTGAATACACATTTATTATATGTATATGCCAATTTCGTGCATATGAAATTACACAAACCACAAACAACATTTCATACACATAGTTCCCTTTATCATTTTGAAAAGAGCAAGAACAAAGATTCTAGCAGAATAACATGAATTCATTTTATTTCGTAGGTTCTCGTCAGCTGCTTACAACCTGTGGTATTTAAAAGATAATAATTACATAATGGGTTTAAATTGCTTACATGAGAGGGTTTATATTGAAGAAATATTCGTAAAGTATGACATGGGTGTAAATGAAATTAATAGGCTGCATATTGTAAATATATATATACCTAATGTGAAAGAATATTCTACAACACTAATTGTGACAACAGTTCAAAAGTGGGTTAGAAACAATTGATTACATAATGAATAAACATTGATAGGAATATAATGAGTAGAGTTCAGTTGAAGACTTAATACTGCGCTAGCCAGCACCTATCCGGCGGCCAAACTTCAAATTCTGTATAAAACAACATGTTCAATAACTCAATCTAAGGTTGATGAGCATCCTTTTCATGTTACCGCCAATTGTATTTATAAATTTACATGTACCTGCCAAAGCAGCTACATTGGCCGAACAGAAAAGAGGGCATATCTCAGATTTTTTGAACATGTTCCAAAGAGCCTCAGAACAAGAGAAAGAAAGACTCTAAATAGTGCAATCACTAAACATCTCCTTGACACAGGCCATCAGGTTGATACCCTACAATCATTCAAGGTGATTAGTAAGCAGCCAAACTCCAGTCTTCTGAAATTTGCTGAAGCAGTTGCTATCAGGCGCCAAAAACCTGATTTATGTGTTCAAAAGGAGATGATTGTTAATCTTTCCCTGCCTTGGTGACAAATATTCTTCCGCTGCACCTTAAAAAAGTTTTTTTTATTTTTATCTTTTATATTTATTACGTCATTGATTTCATTTTTTCAACTATCTTTCAAATTAATAATCTTTCAACTGAACTCTACTCACTATATTCCTATCAATGTTTATTCATTATGTAATCAATTGTTTCTAACCCACTTTTGAACTGTTGTCACAATTAGTGTTGTAGAATATTCTTTCACATTAGGTATATATATATTTACAATATGCAGCCTATTAATTTCATTTACACCCATGTCATACTTTACGAATATTTCTTCAATATAAACCCTCTCATGTAAGCAATTTAAACCCATTATGTAATTATTATCTTTTAAATACCACAGGTTGTAAGCAGCTGACGAGAACCTACGAAATAAAATGAATTCATGTTATTCTGCTAGAATCTTTGTTCTTGCTCTTTTCAAAACAAATAACATTGTGTAATGTTTTACGTTCTGTTTCAACTGTTATTCGCGTCTATACATCTTGACATTTCAGATTTAATGAGGCCCAAAGATGCATAATTTACCCAGAATTTATGTTTTTCAGTACGTAAACTGATAACGAAGACACACTAAACATCACGTTCACAACTAGAAATCTGTATTAGCTGTTACTTTTATTACATGCATACCATTTCCCGACCGTTGTTGCTACCTTGACGTGGTGGTCGGGCTTGCCTATCGTGATGAAGCAACCGAGCTATACTGGCTGGAACAACCGTTCCTCAAGGTCCTACCATGTCAGACAGGTCGGTTGAAGAGCGGTAAGACTAAAAGCAACAAACCCAAGGTCCGAAGGCGAAGTCGTACTGCTGACTGTACAGAGGTGTGACAGCAGTAAGGTGTTTCCTTCAGACAACCAGCATGACAGCGATGCTGCCTTCCCACAAGGAGGGGTGGGGTTAGAAAAGGTCGACCCTAAAAATGCACACCTCGCCTTATCCCACGGATATCCGTCTCCGGCGGTAAGGTCTCAATAAGTACGGAGCTAACACAAAAATTACCCATAAAAGGTCGTGTGTGACCGACCTCAAGCAGTTGTCCCTTGGGCACTGCGGTCACGCTCTCAGGTCACTAAGACCACTTCTAATCCAATTTCCTTTTCAGGTACCTCCAGAAGAACCCTTCCACGGTGTGGGCAACCGGGAAGTGATAACCGCCCTCATACCTCTAACAGCACTCAAGACCACTGTATTCATAATCAACCTCCTCTTCAATTCCTATTATTCCTCCTACATCGACTTTCAACTCTAAACTTCTTTTTTCGGCTTCCCCCTCAAGTGTCACCATAGCCAACGATTCTAGTGCTCAAAACACTGTCCCAGGTCTACTGAAACCTCGCTCCAAACTACACATTGGAGCCTTCAACGTACGCACCCTATGTCAAATCGGTCAGCAGGCTTCCTTGGCTAAAACCCTAGAGTCTCTTTCCATTGATGTATGCTGTGTCTCCGAAACACGCATACAGGATTCCAGTGTGGTCATTCACTTGACCTCACCTCGGCAAACGGAGAGCCAACGAGATACACCCTTCGTGTATCTGGTGACCCGATGGCAGTTCTCGTGGACTGGCAGGTGTAGGCATAGCACTAAGCATGAGGGCGGAACAAGCACTGCTAGAGTGGATCCCCGTCAACAGTCGTCTATGTGCTGTTCGGCTGAACGGCTACGTAAGAACTCGGAAGGATAGGGACACACGTCGTTGCCTTTTTGTCGTTTCTGCCTACGCTCCCACTGACTGCAGCTCAGATGAAGTGAAAGATGAATTTTACAGAAAGCTATCCGAACTTCTTCAGAAAGCTAAACGCTCAGACATAGTACTCGTAGCAGGTGATTTTAATGCTCAGATAGGTAGTTTAAACCAAACAGAAAGGCATTTAGGTGGATATTTTAGTATTCCGACACAGCGAACAGATAATGGTGATCGTCTGCTGCAGCTATGCTCAGACAATCGTTTATTTTTAGCAAACACAAATTTTAAGCATAAGGAGAGACATCGTCTAACATGGCGACCCCCTACACCAAACCAACGATGGACTCAAATAGACCATATTGCCATCAGTCATCGTTGGAGAGGGTCGGTAGAAGATTGTCGCTCATTCTGGAGTACCTGCTTGGACTCCGACCATGCCCTAATACGGGCACGCATCTGCTTGCGCCTCACTGGACGCAAAAAAGCCACATTAAAAAGACCCATTAGAACTGAGTTGAGTAACGAGAAAACCAAAAGTAGGTTCCAGGAACAACTGAGGTCACACTTAGGTAGTTGTGAAGACGAGGCTGACCCAGATGTTGCTTGGAAGGATATACAAGCAGCTGTGGAAACAGCAGTGACATCTATTAGTGACTTAAACCACAGAGTTACAAGGAACCAGTGGATTTCTTCAAGGTCTGTCACACTGATGGATTCTCGCAAACTCGTCCCATCAGGTTCTGAACATGATGAAGAGCGACAACAAATCAGATCTAGGTTAAGAAAAAGTCTAAGGAACGACCGTGAGCAGTGGTGGGCAACGAAAGCAAAAGAGATGGAAAAGGCGGCGACTATAGGGAACACAAGACAGCTTTACAGACTAATAAAAGAAACTGGAATTAATAAGTCAAGTGTAAGTGAGATTATTTCGGAAAAAGACGATACTCTCATCTGCTCCCAGTCCAGACGTTTAGAACGATGGGCGGAACATTTTAGAGAACAGTTCAGCTGGCCTTCAGCTACTCTACAACTACCCTCCATTCCCAGACAATGTGAATGGAACATTGAAGTAGGTCCCCCAACTCTTGCTGAAGTTCAAAAGGCTATAGTTAATCTGAAACGAGGAAGGGCAGCTGGTCCAGATGGATTGGCTCCAGAGGTCTTTAAGGATGGTGGTCCAATTTTAGCGATTAGGTTGACTAATATTTTAGCTAAGATCTGGGATGTAGACGTTATCCCATCTGACTGGTCGCAATCACTTATCGTCCCAATATATAAGAAAGGGTCAAAATCATCCTGTGACAACCACAGAGGGATTAGTTTAACAAATATAGTATCTAAAATACTGGCCTCGATAATTATCAACGCCTAACTAAGACTCGTGAACTACAAACACGAGAGAACCAAGCTGGCTTTAGACCTGGTCGTGGCTGCATCGACCACATATTCACCATTCGTCAGGTTCTAGAACACAGGCATACTTATCGGCGTCCGACGATGGTGGTCTTTCTTGACTTAAAAGCAGCATTTGACTCTGTAGACCGCGAGATTCTGTGGCAGTGTCTGTCATTGAAAGGCGTACCTCAGAAGTACATAAACCTTGTGAAGGCTCTTTACTCGAACACTACTAGTCGAGTCAGGGCTTATGGCGAACTGTCATCTACTTTTGCAACCTCAAGTGGTGTCCGTCAAGGCTGTCCACTTTCTCCATTTTTGTTTAACTTCATCATAGACCTATTGATGGAAATAACACTCTCGTCGACTGAATTCTCGGGTATTGATCTCCTTCCAGGAGGTCCACTTATCGACTTAGAATACGCAGATGACATAGTCCTGTTTGGTGAAGACGCTGACAAAATGCAGAGTCTTCTGGTAGCACTAAGCAACAATGCCAGAATGTTTGGGATGCGCTTCTCTCCCTCTAAATGCAAGTTGTTGCTTCAGGACTGGTCTGCGTCAACACCTGAACTAAGGATAGGGAGTGAAGTAGTCGAACGCGTTGACAACTTCACTTATCTTGGAAGTCTGATCAGCCCTAATGGGTTGGTGTCTGACGAAATCTCAGCACGGATTCGAAAAGCTCGTTTGGCTTTTGCCAACTTACGTCACCTTTGGCGAGGCGAGATATCCGTCTATCAATAAAAGGACGAGTATACTGCGCGGCAGTCCGTTCTGTTTTAATTTACGGCAGCGAAACATGGCCTTAAGAGTAGAAGACACCCGTAAGCTACTAGTATTTGACCACAGATGCCTTAGAAATATTGCTGGCATCTGCTGGGATCACCGGGTAAGTAATAGTGAGGTTAGACGCAGGGTATTAGGGAATGATGGTAAATCAGTTGATGAGGTTATGAATCTTCATCGACTGAGATGGTTGGGCCACGTGTTACGTATGCCTGAACACCGATTACCACGACGTGCAATGCTAACCGGTGTAGGGGATGGTTGGAAGAAAGTTAGGGGCGGCCAAACCAAAACGTGGCATCAGTGCTTGAAGTCACTAACTTCTAGTCTGAGCCATGTTGGTAGATGCAGACTACTTGGTTGGGGTCCGCGTGACTTTCGTAACCAATGGTTGGAGACTTTGGTGACATGGCTCAGAATCGATCACAATGGCGTCGGTGTATACACTCCCTGTCTTCCCTTAAACTAAGAGATTAAAATCACTTCATATCTTTCTTTCTACGAACTAATTCTTTCTTCCTATACTATATCCTTATTGCAATCTTTCTCCTATATATTACCACCTTTGACCTAACCACTCCTATGAATCCGGTGTTCATCTTGCTGTGCTAATGAGGTATGGCAACCTGGACCGATGCATATATGTGCCTGGTCATACGTTGTAGCCGACCGACATGCATACCATTTAAGCCAAAGTTTAGTATTTATGCTGTGTGAACTCTGTTTAAAGAATTGCAGTTCACCTTAACAATGATTTGTTTTCGGGACAAAGTCAGTTCTCAAATTCTTTTCATTTTAAACCGATATATAATCAATGACAAAATTTATTTTTTTATCGATGATGCTTGGGTTGACATCAATAAAACTTCAACTACCAAGCTAGTCTTTCTACTTAAGTTAGTGACACAGAACGTGGAGTATTGTTCATGGTACTAAAGTCTGAGTTCCGAATTATTAGCTCAGACCACGAACGTACCATAGTGTTAACAATAATTTCAAATAAACGAAAGCAATTTTCGAGACGAGGTTAATTAGTGCATGTTGAGCAGAAAATCCTCCGATCGTTTAAGAAAATCAACGGTCCTGCCGGCAGACACATGTGGTTTCCACTGCCATCTTCTGCAATGCCTAAGTAACTGATTAGTCAGTAATTTAATATTTTTCAATGACTACAGCACACCTGTAAAAACACTAAACGTACACTTCAGACCTTCGAGGTTGTGTAAATCAAAGTGAGCTTATTTTCATCAAGGAACGATTTTAACTTATACATTTTTCTTCCTTTTATCATAGACTTTCGTTTGATCCATTAACTACTATTATTCGATTTACTATTCATAAGCTATTCTCAATATATTATTTATAGTCGCCCCTATTCACAGCCACTTTTGTCTTGATCTTATGTGATTAATATTTTCATTTTATGGTCTGGTCTGCTTGTATATAAACTAATTATTTTTTTTAAATATGATGTTCATGCAATGGAGGGTGTTTATTGCGTTCTGGCCTCAACGGTCAGGACAACGTAGAAAGCCACTGTATCGAGGACCAATAAGGATTTATAGTTGACTCAAAGATACTAGTTATGGTTGCCTTGTCATCGGTTAGCTCAGGTACAAAGTCATGGAAATCGATATTCTGATTAATGGTTTTGTCACGTTATGTTAGACAGGGCCATGAGTTATAACAAACATCCCATTTACTTAGTACAACTCACCCGTATTTACGTTCGACTCACCAATGTGGTTTTCCCCAGTTTATTCTATGTGCTAATTTCTATATAAAACTATGAGGTGCAAATATTGTCTGAGAGCCAGTGATATTATCCAGTAGGTGGCTGATAAAATCTTGACATGCATTCGAAAAGTTCATTCAGCTTTCCCTAGATTTCATCACCTATGGTGTAGGCTATATATCTGTGTGCATATTAAAGAACGAGTATATTCCTAGCAGTTCTCATTGTTTCGCTTTATTAATGTGAAATGTGACATTTGGAGGTAGAAGACATGGATGTGTTACTAACATCGGACATTAGCTAACTTTGAAGCATAGTCCCCGAATGTCGAAACACCAAATGAGCACTGTTGAAGTTAAACTTGGGGCACTAAGTGAAGATGACAAATCGGTTGACGAGATTGTAAATCTTTATTAACTAGAGTGGCTGGAATATATATTATCGATGCTCAACTATCCTCTACCTTGACATTCACTGTCGACTGACATAGGGACGTACATCAAGATATGTCATCAGCCCATCACGTCGTTGGATGTAAAGTGCTGGTGGTCGGCCTATGCTCCTCCACGAGGAGTAACAGGCGTAAGTAAGTAAGTACGTCTAATGGTGGTAGGAATATCAGAGGGCAAGATTTAGTGTATAACTGCGATGAATTATCTGTTATGTTCCCAGTCTCAAATGTTTTTTACAAAACTTTTTGGAATCATTTACTCTGATTGGTCTAATAACAGGATAGATTCATCTAATAAGATTGCTTAGACTATTTAATAACATGAATTAATCAGCTAAAAATTTGAATTTGCCTATTACAAATTTATTTACTTATTTACTTTTTCTTAATGAAAGCTTAAATTTATCTCAAATTTCTGTTTATTCATTATGATTATATTGTAGATTTATTAGTGCCTCAGGTGAGTTAGGATCTGGTTCTACTGCATATACTTGTGGTAACAGTTCAAATGGAGATGAATTAGACGATTATGAAAATGTTTGTAATCTCACTGACAATCGTAATGATGTTGTTACAACAACTTATCGTAATTTAACAACTCATGATTTATCTTTCAACAGTCGACTTAATCAAGGTAGACGTATAGATTATGTTTTACAGGTAACTAATTAATGACTTTATAATCCTTATGAGTTTATGGTCTTAAGTATTTCATTTGGAGAAGAAAGAAAGGGAATGTATATAACCTAGTTTTATGTAATCAACTATGGCCTGCAGTGTATGTGTAAGGGCTGATGATAATAACCAATTTTCCAAGCTGAAGTAGCTGAAACACAGTTCGAACTTGGAATCTATTGATTCAAACTCAAGTGCTCTACTTATGACTCAGTGTTATTAACAGAGGTAAGTGTCAATCCACGGATCGCTGAGTTATGAGTTCAGCGCGATCCCACTGTGTCACTTTCATAAGTAGAGTATTCATTAGAACCAACTTAATGAGTGAAGTTATAAGAAAAATAGCATGTCTACAAACATGTTGAGCTGAAATTACTAAGTAAGATATAGAGTAATTACGACTGTACGCTGTTACAATAAATTTTGAGCAACAATACACCCAACGCTTCCAGTCACGAAAGTATATATTATGTCTAGTAAGCTATAAATATTTATGACAGATGTGGCGTTCACTTAAAGTGCGCTTTACCTACAAACTTGGATATATTTTATGTTTTCTCGAATCTAATTTTGATTTTTTTCTAATAATTTTTTTTCATAAACTAGGAAGCTGCTTTGGAAAGCTTCAATGAGTACCTTTTTGCGCTTACAAGTCATGGAACCTATTGGGATTCAGTGGACACTGTGTTATTTATACTAACAGAAGCATATTCCGAAAAAGGTATAGCTCCTATAATGCCTGGTCAGAAGAATGTGCCTGAAAATACAATTCATGTGAGAGCTCTATCACCTCTTAAATCTGCCGGTTCAACTTCTGTTCATTCTATGCTCAATCCATCTTCTGTAACAGCAGATTTGTTAGTAAATGTAAATAATGATCATCAGATGCCTGCATCTCAACAAGTCGATCATTTGGTTTCCTTATCTTCTGTCAACCAAAATCAACCTTATCCTGTTACAACTGCTGTAGCTAGTACTGTTTCTTCTATTTCCAGGATTTCCAATATTCAAGGTCAACTGCCACCATCCTTACCATACATGACACCTCCCACAGTCATTCTCACCACTACCACTAATAATGATACTCATTATATGCAAACTACGGTTACCGATTCGTACTACCAGGTGCCAATTAGTCAGCACTATTCCTCTGCAGGTCCACCATCATCTCATATCTTCTCTCACTGTTCAACTCAAAAATATATTGCTCCACAAATTTCTGTTTGTATGTCACAAGGTGAGTGCTTTCAATGTTTCCACTGTTTTTTTCCTTTGGTTGTTGTCTCTCATACCCAACTGTGTGATTGTTTGCATCTAAGTGTGTGTTTGTGTGAGGAGTAGACTGGTGGTAGGCAAACAATCTTTTTTGCTCCCAAATGCCCTGGTACGGCCGAGAGTGGGGAGAGTCCGCTCTCCTTCTCGAAATACTCTCACATGGCCACGCGTATATAGCCTCTGCCAGGGAAGTCCTACTCACTGCCTTCTCGTGGAGGGGGTTGTTGTTTACGAAAATGAGAGGACAAAAAGCGAATGTCCGGCGCTTTAACCAGATTCCAAACCAATGGTTCACATGGGCTCCAGTATCCTGCGGGAACATATGGAGTATGAACGAATTGTTGGTCACCGGCTTCCATGGGACTACATCTCCTTACGTTGCTCCATTGCCTTGTGGATCAGACCTTCAGGTCGAAGGCTCGGGGTGTGGCCCTCTAAGAAAACCACCTGTTTCGGTTTGGGCACCCGGGCAGTATCACAGCCCTCACACATATAAAATGAGATCTGTGTGACGCATATGTATTTGGTGCCTCCTTGTACCAATATCTGTGTTAAAATAAATAAATAAATAATAAACAGTCTTTTTACTTTACAGATAGCTGACCAGTTTTACATATTAGTGGAACTGTGTTTCAGCTTTCAGTCGTTTTTTTCTCATGTTTGGTTCAGACAGTAGTCGAGTACTATTTCCAACCACTTAAATGTCTAACACGTTTAATAGCATCTGGTCTTCAGATTTGTGGAGCTATTGTTTGGCAAAAATATAATGATTTATTTATATTTTCCACCAACTTGAAATTACAAATCGGATAATGACTGAGTGATTTATGCTGATTAGTACAATGAAAGACTAAAATATCTCATAATATTATTCAAACTGGGTGACAGTTTGAATTGAAATCTCAATTAATGGACTTTTTACTAACAATCTGAAATGTTGATTTTGAATGTAGTCGTTTACCTATTAATGTGATTCACCGAGATTAGTTTATGAATACTTGCCGAGAATAGCAGCTGATTTTCACGAAGGAGTCAGTATTTTAGGGCATCAAAAAGAGTGTCTAATCACATTGATTGCATATTTTTATCACCATGTTTCCTCCTAATTTTATCATGTTATTTTTCTCCATAATTTATTTCCTCGATGATTCCACTGTTATTCGTTTGTTGATCTTATCATTGTATTGTCTGTAAACGTTCACATGTAGTATGCCATAATGTGTTATTTTAGAAAGAAGTTTAAGTAAGTTTGTAAAACTCAAAATACAAAAATACATTGATGAACGGTAGTTTTACACACTATTTCCTTAAATAGTATATGTCGATATCAAACTAAGTGGAAAAGAAAGACTTCTCGTTCGTTAATTTTTCTTGTATCAGGATGTAGGCCAACTGCTCTTTCTTAACCATGCTCAGATAACCGTCTATTTCTGGAAAACATCAGCTTTAAACATCGTCTGAAGTGGCGATATCCACAATCGATTCATCGATCGACTCAAATGGATTACATTCACATTTTTCCATCATTGGAGGGGCTCGATTGAAAACTGTCGTTCATTCTATAGTACATTTAGACTCTAATCCTGCTCTAGTTCGAGCACGTATTTGTCTGTGTCTTACTGTACGTAGAAGAGCCACAGCAAGAAAACCACTTAGAGTTCGGTTCAACTTCATGATCCAAAAGTTGAAAATATATTTCAGGAACAGCTACGGAGTGAGTCAATCGTGAAAGGGATATCCACGCCGAAGCAGTTTGGCATGTTATCCAAAAAGCTCTAAAAACAGCAGTGATATCTAGCAGTAATCTAAATCAAAAGGTGAAGAAAAATCAGTGGATTACAGCGACGTCTGCAGGACTTATAGATGCTCTGAAACTCATCCTGTCTGACTGTGATCATGTTGAGGAACGGAGGATGCTTAAACGTAGGCTTGTTGAAAGCCTACGTGATGGTCATGAGCAGTGGTGGGTAGAGAAAACACAAGAGATGAAAAAGGCAGCAGCTACAGGTAACAGTAGACAACTGTCCAGACCTAACAAGGAAACGGGTGTTAGAAATCCATCTGTTAGTAAAACTATCCAGGGTAAAGTTGAGACTATTATTTATTTTTAATCCGGGAGATAACCGGTAGGTAGAACACTGGAGAACAGTTCAACGGGCTTTCAACCACAATTTGCTTACTCATTATCTCCAAGCAACCTGAATGGTAAACTTATGTAATTCTCCCAACTATTAATGAGTCTGAAAATGCTATAAGTGTGGTATATGCTACTTATATATTTCGATATAAGTAGTATGTATTACTAATCAAAAGTTGAATGTCTGGCAGCAGAAGGTTGAGATCATATTGAAGAGAACGGGAATGTAAACAGAACGTAATTTTGAATTGGTAGAATTATATAGAATGTAAAGAATAATCGGTGGGTGAAGTGTTTAATTTATGGTCCTCATATTTTATGAAAATATCCCGTGATTTTGTATCAACTAATAAATTGATTGTCCCCACCTGAATGTTCGTTGATTACATAAGTAATCTAAAGCGAGGGAGAGCAGCGCTGCCTGATACCTTAAAGGAAGGTGGTCCAATTTAGCAGTTAGATTAACTGAAATTTGGGAACTGGACGCAATCCTATCTGACTGGTCTCGATCGCAGATCATCCCAGTTTACTAGAAAGGACAAAAATCCTTTTGTGAAAATTATATAGGAACCAGTTTAACTAATATAATGTCTAATATATTGGCCTCCATAATACTTTGACGTCTAAGTAGAGCTCGTGAAGGGAAAATCCGAGAAAAATAGGTTGGTTTCAGACATGGACGTGGATGTGTAGACCAAATATTCGCCCTTCGGCAGGTTCTGGAACTAAGGCACACTTTCCGACTACAATTTTATTTCTTGATCCTGAAGCGGTGTTCAACTCCGTGGATTGTGAATTTCTGTTCAGTGCCTGTCGTTGAAAGGCATGTCAAAAAAATGCATAATGGAGAATTTTTTTTAAATGAGAACCAAGTGAGTGCTCGAAGTATCTATTATACTATGATCTGGTGCAAGAGTATTTAGCATTTCTCGCCATTAGTGTTATTTAAGCAGATGTGACTATTGTATACTACTGAAGCATGATTTATAAGACAAAGTAAGTATTTCACATGTCTGTGATTGGACTAACTATTTACTAAATCCGTGTCATATTTATTGTCATAAAACGCTTAAAGTTCTTTACTACTGCCTCGTGGTTATATAATAAGTGGATGTATCAAGATAAATTTATATAAAAAATATGTATGTCAAACAGTCAAATAGTAAACCACATGAACGTCAACAAAGAAGGCACACAACAACACAGGATGAAATGGGGAAAACCACACCAGTGATCATTCAATAGATGCAAAAAGAAACTACTAACAAAGTAAAGGATGATTAATCACGTCTGTAGTACACGAATGGTCATCGATCACTGGACAGTAAGTAAGGCGAAAAAGAAAAAAAAACCGGCAAAAATATATATTGCGCTCCAGTACTTGTGCCTTGTTTCTAAGTACACCTCTTCTCCAGAAGGCGCGGTCGGCTTCACCAACTAAGTTTGACTAGAAAGAACAATAGACTGAATAAAATATTTTAAATATATATATCTTAAGTAAAATAGCATTATATAACATTGGTGATAAAAAAAGCCCGAAGAGTTAGAAACAAGTGGTTACGTAATGAGTAAGCACTGATAACAAGTAGGATAAAACAACCAAAGCTCAGTGAATCGAAATAAGATTACTAATCTAAAAGACAGTTGAAAGAAAAGAACTAATGGTGCAATTAATTGAGAGAAAGAACTAAACGTAGTTTTACAATGTAATGAAGGAAAATTTGTCATCAAGGTGAAGAAAGGTCAACTACCATCTCTTTTTGAACACATGAATCAGGTTTCCCACGCCTGATGCCAACGGATTCAGAAAACTAGAGTATGGCTGTTTATTAACCACCCTGATAAATAACCTAACAATTTCAAGTCAACACTTCCTATTAGTCGATCCAACATTAACGAATCTATCGTAATTGCACATGTTATAATTTTAAACGGTGTATTTGACCTTAAACCTGATCACTAATTGGATATTTAACTGTAGGGCCTGAAAATGTATTGAAAAGAATATTCTTCGTTCATATATCTAGTGTTTTAATGATGATGGGAACTTTTCAGCGATTGGAATCTATTTATTTTTATGTAGCTTGATTTCTTTCCTTTTTAGAGTTTTCAAATACCGCTGAAAATTATATGCAAACGCAAAAACAACAACAGTATTCAAATATACCAGCTTATGCTCATCGTAAACAAAGTTCTGTGAATAATTCAACTACTAGTTCTTTTACACCTTCCATACTTCCATTTCATCCAACAACACCGCCAACCTCATGCATTTCTGTTGACTATCCAATATCTGTTGTGCCATCTATTATCCCTGATCTACTTTGTACTCCTACTAATATATTTATACCAACATCAACAGTAGTGGAAAATACGTTTTGTTCATCGTCTCGAATGTTCCCACCAGTATCTCAATAACAGCAACAAACTATGTTGAGTGCTGCTATCTAGCCTATATTGTCAAAAGAAGAGGATTTATGTGAATTTTATGGTGATGGTTACTTTTGAGGCTGACGATCTCCCATATGGGTACACAAGATATAATCTGAAAATCCTTAGTTATTTCTGTTTTGTTGCTAACCTACTTTTACTCGGCTTCTTCATAATCAAAATAGCTGTGATTAACTTTATTCCACTAGTTTTTTTTACTCATTACTTATCTGGGTTTTTTTTTTAATTCCTTCTCGTTTGAACTGAAATGCTAGATGAAGAGAGGACCGTTTTTATTTGTATTGTAATTATTAAATAAGAGAATTTACTTTAGAATAACTTTTTTGCTACTGTTACTGACCGATGAATATCTGTTGCTCGATAATGTGTGAATTGTCCTATTCTATTTTTTGAATGATTCTGCTTCGTGATATGACTATTTGTATCGGACGAGCAATTAACATTACCTATTCAATGATTATATATATATATATGTAAAGTGTTGTTCTTTTATTCAGTCATAATTTATCTTCTTTCTGTTAAACTAGTCATGAGATAATTGTGTGTCAGGGATAAAATATCTGTATATTATAGATTGTTGAGCCAAAATAGTGAAATGTGTTAAGTTCCATTTAGTTTTTATCGATATTGATGTTTGGGTGGTTGTCATGCTTGTTGATTATTAAGACTTGTTTTAGGGATGGATATTTCCTTTCCTTGACGTTTTAAATATTTTTGCAGGGTATTTAAGGCTTTGGCGGCAGAGATCATCAGCATGTTGTAAATGCGTGATTTTCTAAGCTTTATATTGTTCATCTGTTAGAGATATTACATTCAGAATATAATCTTTTGTCTGACCCTGGATTTTTTTTAACAGATAGGTTTAAGTAGGATAAAGCCCTCATTGTTTATTTGTCTGACTTCTCTGTGTATGGTGAAGTAGTTACTAGTGTTTCCTGGTATCTGTTGGGGTTATCTTGAAACTTGGTCATTCATGTCATCAGGTTATTGATGGAAAAGTCTCAATTAATGTATTCATGATTAATTGCTTTAGGAGAGTATCACAGGCTTTTGTGACGTCTACAAAGATACTAAGTATCATTTGATTCTCTTCTCAGGAACATTGTATAGTGTCTCTGATTGTCGTAATAGCGTGAGTAATGCTAGGTGTTTTCTAAAACCATAATATGTCGATAGGAGTAGTTTATCTGTAAGTTGTTTCAAAATATACCTCTAAACAGTTTCTCAATTATATTCAGCAGGAAGATACTACGATAGTCATTGGGGTCAGATCTTTGCCCTTTGTTCATATATATATATATATACTCGCCACTTCTGCATTCAACTAGTAATCTGGCATAGTACTCTAGTTTATCTCGATTTTGTTCATTATTTTTAGTAGTATGTTATTTATTTCTCTGGTTATGCAATATTTTCCAGGGTTTTACGGTTGTTCATCTTTTTTAAACTAAGTTTAGGATGTTGGATTGTACTCATTGGTAATTTGAGTGGTTTTGGTTTAGGTATTTTAGCATTAAATAGAATACGATAGTGAAATTGGAGATCACTATCTTTAACTTGGTTATTTTGCTTTCTTTTGAAGGCTTGATTACTTATTGTAGCTAAGATATCATCCAGCATTTTGCATACTAAGTGTCGGTCGTTCATTTAAAAGTCGCGTCCATCTCTGTTATTTTGTTTAGAGTGTATTCTTTGGCTATTCTTATCTTATTTACTTGCTTGAATTATAGATCTTTATTCTCCTTGGTAGGTTGGTTCAGCCATTTCAACCTTAGTTGTTTCCTACATTTATTTCCTGTTTAAGGAGATTATATCTGCATGTCATCTTTTTATAGCGACGTATGGGATAGCTGACTCTTTGACAGCTTGTAATATGGTGTTTTCTGTTTGACTTGAATTAGAATTATTATCTACTGATCTTCCTAACTTAGTTGTATACTCTATACACATTGAGTGTATTACTCTTGATCGTTCATGATAGGATTCTTTAATAGTTCGATGGATAGTATTGTTATTTGATTGTTTTAGTTTAAGTATCGTCGTTAGCATTCATATATCGACTGTTGTGTATGTCACATATTAGTATGTTGGAGTTTCTTTCTATTATTACTAAGTCTAAAATGTGGCTAGTCGAGATGTTTGGATGTATCCAGGTGATGGTTTTGTCTTTCAGTTTAGTAATAAAGACGTTCATAATACTTACGTTTCGCACACGTTTATTAGTCTTATGTCACTTGATGATGTCTCAGGTTCAGATCCTAAAGGATTTTCTATAATGTGAGGGTAAGATATATGAGGGTCTTGGAGTAACCTACTGTTAAAGTTACATTATATTACTTTAGTGTGTTTGCGTATCTTTAAGTCTTTGATTGTCCGTTGAAGCGTTAGATAGAACGGTTCTTTCGTGATTGGAGGATTCAGTTGGGGCATAATATTAATCTAGAATAATGGTTCGCTTGGTGGTCGTACAATATACTTTAATTGTGGCTATCATGACACTTAGTGAAGTCTGTTGCTTCTATTACTGTTTGTCTGTTGATGTTTCGGTAGTCGTTAATATCAGGGTTTGAGTTGTAGAATATAGTATTATTATCTATATTAGAGGCCGTACGAGTTTCTGTGATTACTCTCATTTGATACCTACGTCCAACTATTTGTTCTATCTGATGGAGTTTGCTTTCATGAGATCGACCGGATATTGTAGATGCCAAATTTAAGTTTTTCAGATTTCACGGAATATTTCGTTGTTCTAAAGTCTTGGGGTGGTGTAGTAAGGACTAGTGGTGACTCTCCCTGTGCACTAGTCTGGTAACTATCTCCACCTTTTATGATTGTACTGTGCTTCTGTGTAGACTCTGTAGTCATTTTTGGAGTATCGTTTGAGTTGGATATATTAGCCTGATCTCCACCACCTGATTATTCTGGTGTTATCAAAATAATTTTTAAATATCACAGGTTCCAAGTAGCCGACAATAACCAAATGATAAAAAGTGAATTCATGCTGTTCCCATCGAATCTTTGTTCTAACTTCCAAGACAATAAAGATAATTATATGTAAGAATAAATCTGGTTAGCATGACTTGACAGAGATGGTAAGACTGTTCTATTTGACCTGCTTAAATATCTGGGCTACTTGTCCCTAACATCTATATATTTCAATAAGTTACTCAATTTTGTTTGTTTCAGCATATCATTATGTCTATCTATCGAATAACCTATTCAGACACGTTTATGGAAAGTCTACGACTCTTCGCTTTACTAAGTACAAAACTATACATCCGGAAGCATCGTGTTGACTGGGACTATGCTCTGAAAAGAATACAAGTTAATCAGATGTCGATTCCCGAACCGCTAACTTTCAACTGTCGATCACTAATTGACAAGGTAAACTAACCACAATTTCTGCTAAATCTAAACATGTGTCGTCATTGTGGAATAATCACAATTCAAGAATCCTGATTGAATGCTATATACGACGATAGTTTAGTGTCACTATATGGCTTCAATATCTACCGTCAGTATAGACCAAGTAATAAGAATGTATCGGCGGTGTAGCTGCGTCTGTAAATGCTAACTAGTGACGATGTAATTCTACATGTTTTAAGTTTCAAACGACGTTATCGACGATTTAACTTTTTAAAAAAACACTTAATTACATGTAGTCTATCTACTTGACTTATTTATATATCAGAAGTAGTTTTTGTGGATATTATAGTAACTTCAATAGTTGGGATCATGAGTCAATTGAAGGTCGACCACCATGGAAAACCTGGAATCACTGGACGGTCGTTTCGTCCTATTGTGGGGCTCCTCAGCAGTGCGCATATATATGTATGCACTTATCAGTTTCTTCCATTGTTTTTCTTTGTTTGTTTTGTAAAAAATCTTTCTGAAATACCTTGTACTGAGAATTCTATATTGTACCAAAAGTATAATACTGAATAGAGCTAATAATAATGTAAATAAAGATCAGTAATTACGTAATATTTAGAATGATATGCATTAGGTGCGAGTTAGTAAATAGGAATGCTGAATGAATCTCACAAAAGTTATAAAAATAATATTATGTATGAATAAGATACTTTTAAGCTATGTAAATGCAAAGAGGAAGGTTGTATGAACAGTAATGTAATTATCTCACCATATCATCGAGTGATTATTAGTCAAGGTAAAATGAGTAGGTGAATATATTTCTTCTGAACGTAAAGCTTCAGCCTTTTTGATCCGAATAGCTATTACTTCAGTCGTTTGAAAGAATTTTAGTCTGACGGATTTGCTGTTAACACGATGTATTACTGTTAATGACTGGTCCATACTTGCTGTATGAACCGTTTACACTAAATGAGCTCGAAATGAACTGTTAATAATTCTACCTACAACTATGCCTGCACACAACGGGAGGTGCTTGCGAGTACGAAAATACAAATTTCTAGAACACCTGCCAATATAACTTGTTCCACGAGAGCATTTGAATTGATAGATACGGAAACAGAATGCTAGTCCATTTCATTTAACTTTCAATCTAAGGACGAACATTGGACACGTTGAGAACAATGATTGTAGTCTTCCTGTGGCGTTTAACGCGTCCTTTTGTATGAAATAAAAGGGTCTTACTGTAACGGTAACAAAGAATAATTAAAACATGCGATAGTGCAAAAGACAGCTGATAGCTGTGTCTAAACTTGGTAACAGTATATCAACAAGCAAAACCCGAAACAAGAGCAAAACAATATTGAAACTGTTGCGTTTAAACAAATGCACAAATTGTAGATAACTGCTACAGTGATTGAGGTGAAGTAATTATATTGATAAATACAATAAACGGTATAAGTATATGTAAATATTTCAGAATATCACACGACAAACTTGCGTTACAACACAAGTTTTAAAATGTTTAGAAATACAATTGTTTACTGAATGTAAATAAGTAGTATAGAACAATACGCAAAAGAGTGGAAGAGCAGCGA